TTTGCTTCCGGGGATCATACTCAGATCTTTGCACTTGCGAAGCAGGTGGCAGAACCACTGAGCTAAATCCCCAGCCAGTATCTTTATAATTTTTTTTTTTTTGGTACCGGGAATCAAACTTGGATCCTTGTGCTTGCGCAGCAGGTGGCGAAACCACTGAGCTAAATCCCCAGCCCAACTTTATATTTTAATAATGGTCATTACTTTATTAGATCTCCTTTTTTTTTTTTTTGGTACCGGGGATCAAACTCAGGTCCTTCTGCTTGCGAGGCAGGCGGCAGAACCACTGAGCTAAATCCCTGGCCCTAGATCTCCTTTTTAATTCTTATTTTCATTAGTACATGTTTGCAGTACATAAGGGTTACATTCACCCTGGGAAGCTGGTGCGTGTGCATAACATTAGACCTTTGGAAGCATTGTTGCTATGCTGCATGTTCATGATGTTAGCCTAATGGCTGGTACCTATGGAAAAGAAACTAGTGAAGAAAAGTATTAATGTTTACTTAGTTGCACATATACACTGTTTGACGTTTCTAAAGACATATGAGGATCGGAATAAAAAATTGCTACATCAGTAAAACTATTCCCATGACAAGTGTAGGTATGATATTATAATACCTTTTTTTTTTTTTTGGTTTTTATCCATGGTCCCTGCCCAGAGCAGTCCGGGAGAGAAAAGCTCAGGGAAGAGAAACTAGACTTTCTCTCCCTCCAGGAGAGCATAGAAACTCAAATCTTCCTCTATGTTTCTGTCTTGGGAGCTAGTCATGAAGAAATTCCCTGTCCTACCCTTACCTAAAAGTAGTAGGTCATAAGACTCCGCTCTTTTCAGGTGCTGGGTGAGCATGTCTTTACTTTATGGCTGATTTTAGTATTTACCACTGACATCTTCATGGCGTTACTAAGCATTTGATAAGTCCAATGAACACAAGATGTTTCGTACCCACTGATGGAGTCACCTGAAGCACAGGCAATGCCAGCAATATACCACAAGTTCAGTTTTGGATCCCCACACTTTAGCTGAAGGGTTAGGTCCTGGGTGCCTCTGGGCAGCCATTGGCTGCTCCCATTCTTAGAATTTAAGGGCTTCTGTTCAGTTCATTGTCCTGTGCAGCCCAACGGAACTCTTGAAAGGCCAGGACTGCCTGCTATTATCATCACTAGGTGGCAGTTTTCTTTGATTTCTCCCCCAATATCCCCAAATTATACATTAAAAGTTCCTTTTAAAGTGCTTTCAGAAAGGATAATTTCTGCTATTCAAATGACAAAGAAGAAAAAAAACAAAAAACCAGAAGAAATTTAGAAGACACAGTGGTATGACAGAAGACACTAGGGATCTGTGGACTGTCAGAGAGGTAGTTTTAATACTGTTGAATGAGAAAATGATACATAATACAAATTATTTTTAAATCTCTTTTCAAAAACGTATGCTTTTAAAATTGTTTTTTTTTAATTGTTGTGTTTTTTAAATAATTTTAAAATTGTTATCAATGACCTCACTTCATGTTAGCTAGATCAAAGTATGCAAATATCTCTGGATGATTCAGACAAGACCTTCTTTAGATTATCCCATCTGTCACCTAAACCCTTTTCCATCTCCTCAAACCCTTATAAAGAACCCACTCTCTCACCCTGGTGGCACAATTCCTCTCTTGGAAGTCTGCCCACTGACCCCCTTGGCAGCATACTCTGATCTAATTAAAGTCTTGTCTTTTCTACAAAAACAAAACCATCCTCTCCCCCACACAAGATAAATATCCGCCTCGCTCAGAACTGTCCGAATCCCAGTGGCCACTTCTCAATTGGCCCCTCAGCTGCACCCTCAGTTTCTCCACATGTGGGGAACTCAGGTAAGACACTGGGTGATCCTACAGCTGGCTTCTGGGCATCTGCATGTCTCTCAATTACATGCAAAGTTTGGACGTTAAGCTTGTGTGTGTGCGTGTGTGTGTGTGTGTGTGCGCGCACGCGCATGTGGAAAAGGGGCCTGTGTTTTATCAACTTTTCAATGGAAACTACGATTGGGGTTGTTCATATAATCTATCTTTCAAGTCAATTCCAGGCATGGGCAAGGCCCTGGGTTCAATCCCCAGCACTACAAAAAAACAACTGCCAGAACAAGAGGGAGGAACCTGACTCTGATATAAACAAGGGTGTTTTTACCCAACCTAGAGACCACGGTTTAGCACAAAAATATGAGGCCTATCCTTGGGTCAGTTTTGCAGGTTAATTTATTTACTATATGAGTGATGTCTCTTCTATTCCCTGTATCTACTGAGTAGAGAGGGTTCTACTTGGTGGGACTTAACGTATAGCAGCAGCTTTACCTGCACACTGCTTCCTTGTTTCTCCCCTACTTGAGTTTACTCTAAATTTTAAGTTACCTGTTAACATGTTATTCACTGGATAATCCTGAAGAGGGAAGTACATCTGCTTTTCTATAACTGGAGTCCTTAAAAAGTTATTTTCTGTGCTATAAAATGAAACATACAGAAAGTTATATTTATATATATATACACACACACACACACACACACACACATACACACACACATGCACGCATGCACACAGACCTTGTACTCTCTGGAAGGCTCGATGAATACCAAACAAATCATTTTGGCTGGAAAAGGTAGTAAGTCAAAAGGCAATCGACTTCAACAAGTTCTAGCTGATGTGTCAAGTACCAAACAAATGAAGAGTACTGGGACAGAACTCACATCAAAATGCACCAAGTGCCAGATTTGACAAGTTTCAAAGCAGTCAATACCAAAGTACAAATATATATATATATATATATATTTTTTTTTTTTTACATACATATTTAGATTTGTATTACAATTGAGAATTTATTAACTTATTTCAGGCAATACATATTATAATTTAATGGTTCTTTGATCAGACTTTAATCTTATTGAATGAAAATGTTAACTGTAAGCTTCTTTTTTGCTTCTGAGTAATATAAGGGCATATATATGTGTGTGTGTGTGTATATATATATTTGGTTTTCTTGGCCACTTCACAAACCAAATATTTATTGTGCATGTAAAGGCCCGGATCATTCTCAGTATCAGTGAAAGCAAAACAATAATACCCCAGAATGAGAGAAAATATGCAGTATGCGTGTATGTATATATGCAATCTTAACTATACCAGAAAAAAAACATTGCAGACTCTATTTTTAAGGGATCAGAGCACTTTTACTTTTCAGCATTCAAATAATTTAGACTCTATTAACTAATACGTCCATATTTCACCATAACAAATGAAAAAACAATATTTGGGAAAACCATGATTTACAATAATTTTTTTTTTTTTGTACCGCGGATAGAACTTGGGTCCTTGCCCTTGCACAGCAGGTGGCGAAACCACTGAGCTAAATCCCCGGCCCTACAGTAATATTTTGAAATAATTTTTTTTTTTGGTACCAGGGATCGAACTCAGGTCCTTGTGCTTGTGCAGCAGGCAGCGAAACCACTGTGCTAGATCCTCAGCCCTCCAATCTTGAAATGATTTTTGACTTCAAAAAGTAAATTATGCATAGCGCATTTGTGTAACATAGTTATATATTCTTTTTTGGGGGGGGTACCAGGGATCGAACTTGGGACCTTGAGCTTGGGAGGCAGGTGGTGGCACCACTGAGCTAAATCCTTGGCCCTATATTCTAATTTTTTTTTTTTGGTAGCAGGGGTTGAAGTCGGGTCCTTGAGCTTGTGAGGCAGCAGGCAGAACCATTGAGCTAAATCCCCAGCCCTATATTCTAATTTTTTAAGAGCTGAAGAGTTTTTTTTCTTTTCTTTCTTTTTCTTTTTTTTTCTTTTTTTTTTTTTGTGAAAGACAGGGTCTCCCTAAGCTCTGGAGGCTGGTCGCAAACTCCTGGGCTCACGCAATCCTCCTGCCTCAGCCTCCCATGAAGCTGGGACTACTGGTGCATGCCACTGTGCCAGCAAATATCCTATTTTATAACTTGTCAAGTAATAGTATTTCCTGTACTTGGACTACATGTAACCAATAGATAATATAATTTTATGAAATTAAAACTTTAGGGCAGGGGATTTAGCTCAGTGGCACCATGCCTACCTCATAAGCACAAGGTCCTGAGTTTGATTCCCTATACCAGAAAAAAAAAGAAATTAAAACTTTAACAATAAAACTGAAGTCATCTTTGAATTTATTATATTCCTAAAAACATAAATTTAAAATGAATAACAGTGAAGCCTTTATTTTCAATTTTTTAAAAAAATTAAATTTCTTTTAAACGCTTCCAAAAGAAACTATACCTCAGTTAGATGAGATCTTACAAATAAAGCAAAATAGTGCTCTCCAACAAGTCTGAGACTAAACCCACTGGTCCACAGGAGTAGATGTATAAAGTGGTTTAACCACTCCTGAGGGCAATTTGATAAGAAATATCAAAAATACAAATGCACATGGCTTTTAACCTAGTAATTTCCCTTCTAAGAAATTACTCACACATATCTGCTCATGCAGAGTGAGAGAAATATTCACTAAAGCACTATTTTTTTTTTTTTGGTACTGGGGATCAAACTTGGGTTGTTGCGCTTGCGCAGCAGGCGGCGAAACCGCTGAGCTAAATCCCCGGCCCTAAAGCACTATTTTTAATAGCTCAAAATTACCTAAAAGTCCATTAAAATAGAGGACTAGAATTAGATAAACTATATATATATTACATATGTATGTATAAACAAGGTTAAATAAAATATAGTGAGTTCACATAATGGAATATCTCACAGTATAAATGAAAACAATTCTATGTTGTAACATGGGATGATCTCCAAGACAAATTATTGAATGAAAAAGTGCAAAGTTCACAACACTTTATAGAAAATAAAAAGAAGAAAAAAGAGTCTGTTCATGAATTTGATAGCACATGTGCATATATGAGAAACGTAACAGTGATTGCCTCTGGGAGGGAGCTAGCTCTCTAACAGTCAAAATAGGGGCCGGGGATTTAGCTTGGTGGTTTTGCTGCCTGCTGCGCAAGTGCAAGGACCCAAGTTCGATCCCCAGTACCAAAAAAAAAAAACAACAAAACTTTTCTTGGTGGAGTCTAACAGTCAAAATATTTTCAAAGCATCCCTTTATATTTAACTCTAAATTCCAAACCATGTAAACATGTTACCCATTGAAAAATTAAAACACAAAAATGAGTAGGCACAACTAGCTAAGAATAATATTTTTTAAAAGAGTAAGGAGGAGCTGGAGATGTAGTACAGTGATAGATTCCGTGCCTAACACGTGTGAGGTCCAGAGCTCAACCTCCAGGATCACACACACACACACACACACACACACACACACACACACACACACACACAAAGGAATGAGTCTGGGCTTTTACTCTGATACATTTGTTTTTCAAAAGCTAAAGGAAATTTATTTGCAAAACGAAAATAAAGGCCAGGTGTGGTGGTGCACAACTGTAGTTCCAGCACTCGGGAGGCTGAGGCAGGAGGATTGCTGAGAGTTTGAGGCCAGCCTGGACTACATAGTGAGTTCAAGGGCCAGGGATTTAGCTCAGTGGTTTTGCCGCCTGCTGTGCAAGTGCGAGGACCAGAGTTCAATCCCCAGTACCAAAAAAACCAAAAAAACCCAAAAAAACATAGTGAGTTCAAGGCCAGTCTGAACTACATAGCAAGACTCTGTTTCAAAAAAAAAAAACAACCAAAAAACCTGAAAATAAAATTAGCTCTACACCTCATACTATACACAAAAATAAGTATCTCCAGAATTTAAAACCTATTCATTTCTGAAATTTCTGAATTATAAAGGGCTTTTCTGAACACAGAAGCAGTAGAGAAACTATTTGAAAAATTATTAATTTAATGATATAAAAACTAAAAATGTATATCTATGTATATCTACAAAAAACTACATGCCAGGCAACAAACGGAGGGTACAATTTATCAAATTGGCAGAAGGATAACACAGTTATTACAAAAGACATCAGACAAGTTGATAGAAAAAATAGTGAGACCTCCAACAGAAAAATGGAGAGAGGATAAAAGTGAGCCACGGAGCTGGGGATTTAGCTCAGTGGTGCTGCCGCCTGCCTCACAAGTGCAAGGTCCTGAGTTCAATCCCCAGTACCAAAAAAAAAAAAAAAAAGTGAGCCACAGAAAAAGAAACGCAAAATGTTAATGAACAAATTCGAAGAGCTTCAAAGCAACTAGTAATCAAAGAAAAACACAAAATAAAATGCCATTTTTCATCGATTAAATTGGAACAGGACTTCTTAATAATATTCAACACTAACAGTGCTTTATTTTTGCTTTTGGTTTTTTTGATACCAGGGATTGAACTCGGGACTTTGAGCTTTCGAGGCAGGCGGCGGAACCACTGAGCTAAATCCCTGGCCCTATAGGGTTTTTTAATTTTTTTAACAGTACCTTAAATTTGTACTTTTAGGGGAAGTAACCAGCATTATTTCTGACAGTCTTTAAATAAATCCACACCTCTTTTATCACAAATTCCACATCTGAGAATTTACACGAAGAAAATTATCTTAAAGAGCTGGGGATTTAGCTCTGTGGCACCTCGCCTGCCTTGCAAGCATAAGGTCCTGAGTTTGATCCTTGGTACTGGGGGGAAAAAAAGAAAAGAAAAGAAAATTATCTTAAAAGTAGAGCAAGATTTGTTTTAGCTTTATCTTATTTATTTTTATTTATTTATTTACTTATTTGGTGGTACTGAGGATTGAACCCAGGGCCTTCACAATGAGGTATATCTCCAGCCCTTTTTAAATTTTTTATTTTGAGACAAGATCTCACTAAGTTACCAGGCTGGGCTCAAACTTTTAAACATTTAAAGATAATTAAAAAGATGGTAACACAAATAAGAAGAAATACCATACATAGCCCTTACAAGTCATAATATCAAATAAACATATTCTACATAGGAAACTGCCCATAGAAAGTTAAACGTAAAATCAAGAGACAGACTGTACATGCTACCCGACCTCAACTCTGTTAACTGTATTTGTATAAAACTAGGGGGATCAGCGGTGCTATGCCTGCCTGGCAAACACGAGGTCCTGAGTTCAATTCCTGGTACCACCTCCCCCCAAAAAACTGGGGAAACATACTAATAAGTGGTGTGATTGACTTTAATTTAAATTTTCTTTATTTTTTCTGTATCTTCCATTTTGACAAATTATATACATTATATTTATAACAAAATAATTTTTAAAATGAATATTAACATGCAATTTTCAGAAGATTTGGGGAACATTTGGGAAGGGAAAACAGCATGATATTTAAGAGTTTGGGTCCTGGATCAGCTAAACTTGGTTTCAAATTCAGTCTGCTCCTGAATAGTACTGCGTGATTTGGTTCTCTGAACCTCCTTACTCAACTATAAAGTGGCACAAATACTGTAGTATTTATCTATCTCATACAGTAAGAACCAGATGAAATACTGTAAGCTGCTTAGTTTACAAATGTCTTCTATTTAGCAAATGTTCAACAAGAGTTCACCATTTAGCAAATTATTACTTCATAGCTGTAGGGTCAGGGTTTATTTTATGTTTTCACTGCAACCCCTGGTGGCTACACACACACACACACACACACACACACACACACGGCTCTAAGCAGACACTACCTAAGGTGTATTCACACCCTTTGTCAATCTTATTGTTATTGGGTTGGATATATTTTTCCCAGATTTCTCTGTATGCTAAGTAAATTAGCCTTAATAAAAGAAAAACCTAAAGTGGAAAGAATATATAAATAAATCCATTAACTATCATATGGAGAAAGAAAATTGCTATTTGATTATTACAGCCAAACACCAAACTTTTGAACAGCTAGTGTTGCCTATGAACTTTGAAAACTACAGAACTGGAAAATACAGAATTGGGACTAGATCAGGAATAAGTATGCATGGTGAGGGGCCTCTCAGATTTCCCCTAACACATGGCAAGTCCAGGCTTGACTGCCTTTTAAACTGAATTTCTGAAGCCAAAGTAACCACATTATAAAGAATTTGGAAAGGGGGAAATCACTGTTAACTTGGAAATTACTGCTAAAATTTAATGTATTTTCCATTTTAAAATATTTTTAAAACAATGTAACTTATCGTTACATACATAGAACCCCGTTTCCTTCCTGGGAGGGTCAGCCAGCACAGTCAATGCAGGGAGCCAGAATTAGACTGATCCAATTCACATCGTACTTCTCCCCCACTTCATCAAAGTTTGTATGACTTTGGACAAATAAATCTTTTTAATCCTAAGCCTCCTTTTCTGTAAAACAGGAATGATGATGATGACGATGATGATGAATCTATCAATCTCATAGGAAGATTGCACACAATCTGCTCATTCACATACACTAAACTGAATATCAGTGAAGTACATGAATTCAATACCTTTTGGATAATTCTTTTTCATTCTCTGTGGCTAGTTCACTGTTTTCCCTAAAGGTATTTATTTCATTTGATGTTACTTCATCATGCTGTGGATAGCAAAAGAAATCACATTTCAAAAAATGAGCAAACCAATGAGAAAGTCAAAAATGTCCTCACCAAAGGAGACAAAGTAAATGGGAGATAGATAGCCACCCAGACAGACGGATGGACAGACAGACGGCTAGATATGGGTTCGTTCAGTCTAGCTTGCTATAAAAATACACATATAGCTATGCTATATATTTTGAGAGATACATAAAGAAGATTACAATATTTTAAATGTCAGCTATTTTTGCACTGCATAAGTAAAACTGGTGATGTTCCCTAATTTTTGAAATTTTTTCTAATATGATGATACTCCTTTTTGTCATAAAAATAGGGAAATAAAAAAGTTACTATTTTAAATTTTCTTAAAATGCTTGACTTAAAGGTTTCTAGGCTTCCTGTGAATTACAAATCAAAAATATGAAAAATGCTGAACACACTATTTCCACCTCAAAATAATAGCGAGGTATTTAGCTGTGCAGTTTTGGAAGAATTAAATATATTAAGCTTTTCTAAAAGACTCTGAAAGTGACTCAGATACTGGTAACTATCACATTTACCTAAAATGTCATTAGGAAAAGTCTAATTAGGTCATAAAACCACTCCAAGTAATAATAATGCTCTCCAAATGACCTTCATATTTATCCTTGTTATTCCCATTCAATAAAGTGCCTTCCTCCTGATGTGTTCTATGGTTATAATTAGCTGCTATTCAGCATCAATCAATATTTTTAAAGCATTGACAAAATCCTTTATCATATATATAATAAAACAATTTCTAGAGTCAATAACGAGTACAAACATACTAGTTTTTTAGTAGAAAAAAACACTGGACTGGGTTAAAACAAAGAAAATTTGGTTCCATTTTGCTTATAACTGTCTATGTGAACTAATGTCTTTCCCTTCCATTCACCTGTTTTTTTAATTTATAAAACTAAACAAATTAATGATCTTTAAGTTCTAGTACAGTTCTGGTATGCTCAGTAATTACTGTCAAATAAAAACCACTCCATCTTCATTCTTGTCCCTGGGGACACTGTGACAAATCAAAGAGTAGATATTTTCCTCCTTAGACAAACATCCATTTTTATCTCCTAGCCAAAGATACCAACAGAACTGTTATTTTGAAATGATGATGTTTTGGGTGTGTTTTGTGGGTTTTGAGGCAAGGTCTCACTCTGTAATTCAGGCTGGCCTCAGACTTGCTACGTAGGCCAGGACTGGCCTCAAAATTTCAATCCTTCTGCCTCAGCCCGCCAACTACTGGGATTACAGGCATGTGCCTCCAAGCCTGGCATGAATAGTCTTATTTATTTAAAAAATCTTCAGTTTTATCAATGTATTACTGTTAAAACAGTGTCAAATAAAATCATGTGCTTTATTCTGTCTCATTATTCCTAATGTTTTACAAGTAAACATTTTAAGATTTCATTGCTTTCAGAAAAATTTGAAATTGAAGATTCTAATCAAGTACTTTAATTCACTCTTACCTTTTCTATCAGAAAGTGTTGTTCTTGTTCCCAAATAAAACTACCAATTTTTCTTCTTATTTCTGTGGTAGAAAAACAAATCCAATACTATTTTTAAAGTAATTTTTCAATTTTGCATGAAATTTGAAATTTCTAGGCCACCATTATTCCACCTGCATCAAAATCACCTAGGATACTTATTAAAAGTACAGATTCCTATTGAATCAAACCACTGAGGAGAAGCTCAGGAATCTGAATTTCTAACAAATTCCTGACAATTCTAATGTTTTATAAGACTCACTGTTTTAGACTTCTCCTGTTAGAATGTCTTTATCAGATGTCAGGGTCTCCTTTTTTTGTTGTTGCGTTTTTGTGGTATTAGGCAAGGGCTCTACCACTACATTACAATTCCCGGCCTTTTTTATTTTTTTGAGACAGGGTCTCACTAAACGGCCCAGGCTGCCCTCAAATTTGCAATCATCCTGGTATGAGTGTCTCTATTACACCAAGTATTAATAAAGAGGACACTGTGGAGACAAAATAAAAAGTATAAAACTGCTCAGTTTGTAGAGCAGAGATTCTCAAGAATTAATTTACTTTTCTAAAAGAAGCAGATAAGCAGTATGTCTAGTAAGCAGGAATTCTGTAGTATTCAGTATGTCAAGTGACTGTCTTCCTCCCAACTCAATGACTTCAGAAGTTTCCACAGTAGATCAGAGGACAAAGAGTAACATTATTCTAGACTTTTGCTGTCTGGTATGGTAACACCTAGCTAAATATGGGTACTGAGTACTACAGTGTATGGCTTGTCCAAATTGAGACATGTCATAAGTATAAAATAAACACTGGAGTTTGAAGGCTTAGTATCAAAAATGTAAAATATCTCAATAATTTTATATTGATTATATATTGAAATGTTATTTGGGATATATTAGGTTAAATAAAATATATTCTTAAAATTAATTTTAGCTGGGTGCAGTGACAAACTGTAATCCCAGCTAACTTGAGAGGCTGAGGCAGGAGGATTGCAAGTTGGAGGCCAGCCTGGACCACTTAGAAAGACCTTGTTTCAAAATTTAAAAAGAAAACAAAAGGCTGGTGGTGTGGCACAGCACTCTCTGGGTTCAATCCCCAGTACCACAAAAAAAAAAATTAACTTCAAAAAAAAATTAAAAAAAAAAAATTAACTTCATGTCTAAGTAGATAAATACATATATACTTTTTTTAGTGTATGTGCTGCTGAAGTAAGCACATACATTTTTTTTTAAAGGAGTATGTTTCATTTAAAACAAATTTTTAGCCAAGGATTTAGCTCAACGGTTCTGCCACCTGCCTCACAAGTGCAAGGACTGGAGTTCGATCCCCGGTATGAAAAAAAAAGAAAGAAAGAAAGAAAACAAATTTTTAAAAAATTTAAATACATCTTAACATAAGATGCTAAACTCAGAGGGGTAAGGGCAGGGAGGGCAGGGGATATAAAAAGAATGAAGATGTATTATGCGCATGTGCCAACTCCCCGTGATGACTGTAACCCTTACGTACTGTAAACTTGCACTAGTAAAAATAAAAATTTTTAAAACTCAAAGTAGGGGGCCTGGGATTTAGCTCAGTGATTTTGCTGCCTGCTGCGCAAGTACAAGGACCCAAGTTCAATTCCCAGTACCAAAAAAAAACACCTCAAAGTAGGGGGCCTGGGATTTAGCTCAGTGGTTCTGCTGCCTGCCTCGAAAGCACAAGGTCCCGAGTTCTATCTCCGGTACCAAAAAAACAAAACAAACAAAAATTCAAAGTTAGGAATGATAATTTAAAAATCAGGTTGAATAGCCATTCTATAATATGAGCTCTTTGAAAGTGGATACTAATCAGCACAAATACTTTTTGAGTAAATCAATTCTCTCATCTAGTAATTAATTTATTTGCCTAAGGACTTGGAAAATTTAGCATTATAAATTTTATCTAGGTCTTTCTGAGACATCAACTACAGAAGAAACCAATAGTTGGGGTTTTTTAAAGTCTCTATGAAAATATTTTCAAGTTTTTTGTTTTGTTTTGTTTTATTTATTTTTCAGTACCAAGGATCAAACTCAGGACCTCGCACTTGTCAGGCAGGCGTGGCACCACTGAGCTACATCCCCAGCCCTATTTTGTTTCTTAGACAGGATTTCACCATGTACCCCAGGGTGGCCTTGAGCTCATGATTCTCCTTCCCTCCTGCCTCAGACTCCCAAGTGCTGGGATTACAGGCATGTGCTACCATGTGTGGCTAGCTTTTGTTTTTAATGCTCTCTTCACTGGGAATTTGTACACAGCTTCAATCTGTCCTTTCTGAGATGGACATAAACTGGGTAAACAAGATACATATTAAGCATTTGGTAATAATGTCAATCTACACATTGGAATATTTCAAGTTAGCTCAGAAAAGATAGGTAAGATTTGGACAGATGAACAAGGTAAGAAAACAAAGTAAGGAAAATTTTAAAATTTTAACTAGAAACTTCCAAGTAAGGAAACCTAAAACACAAATCTCAGAAGCACTTTATCTATTTTTCCCTTTCTATTTCACAGGGTTGTGAAAAAATGTAAACATACTTCCAGAAGCATGAAGAAAATTACATGCTAGGCAAGGTGATGCTCTGTAATTCAAGCACTCTGGGAGGTTCAGGCAGGAGGACTGCAAGTTCAAACTCAGCCTAAGCAACTTAACCATTTAGCAATAACTTGTCTCAAAATAAAAATTAAAAAGATAAAAAGGGGCTGGGCATGTATCTCAGTGCAAAGGCCCTGGATTCGATCCCAAGTACTGGGCCCCCCAAATATATATACAATCAAAACCAACCTTTAAAGAAAATGTAAAGAAAAATTCAGAAAAGTAATGAAAAGATTCAAAACTAGCAAAGAATATATTAAATGCTCTCCATATGTTGTAAGCTTTAATACATTATACTATTTTATCCTCAAAACAACATGGAAGAAGTTTAATACAGATAGGAAAAGTTTAATAGTTTAAAGTTTAATAAAGATAGGAAACTAGTAAGCACTGGGTCCTAGCTGGGGAACACTTGAAGGGCAAGATCTGCATCTGTCTTAATAACCATGGACTCCCCAGCACCTGGCTTGGAACCTGGCCAAGAGGGTATCTCACTGACTGTGTGAATAAATAAAGCCAGGATATACACACAAGGCAAACTGATCCCAGGCCCATGCTCCTCCCACTTGTATTAAATGGCACGAAACTCAACATTTTCTCATTGAGAACAAAGAAGAGTAAAAGTGAATTTGGCTGCCTAATGGGGAATTTGCTGGATTGAGCAAACAGGTGTTGGTTGAACGATCTTCGCTAACCTTTTTGCAGGCATGCAGGAGGAAGAACAAAATGACCTAAAGCCACTGAGTTTTTAATTTCAGCATTGGCTACTGCAGAGAGATAGTAGGCATGAAAAACTGTAGCATTATCTTCTATGTAATCAAGGCTCTGGTAAATTCTAGGAGAAAGAAAGGAAATCTTTTAGGTTATGAGATAAAGAACATATTCAGGGCAGGGGATTTAGCTCAGTGGTTCTGCCGCCTGCTTCGCAAGCTCAAGGACCCGAGTTTGATTCCCAGCACCAAAAAAAAAAAAAAAAAAAACTAATCAGATGTTAGCTGCTGTAGTGAAGGAATGTTAAAAAAAAATTTTTTTGCTAGACTGAGAGCCAACTTGCTGTGCTCTTTGAAAAGGAGAATTAGTCACGGTAAAAAAAAAAAAAAGAACATATTCAGTCTCTTTAAAGAAAGAACAAATGACTGTAAGTAGGGTACATTATAGAATATACTTATGATGGGGCCTAAGTCTAGGCAAGTCTCAGCTTTAGAGACTTGGTAAATTATTATATAAATTGAGAAATTTAACCTAAAACAGTATGGTTACCTGGACATCATCAGTGTATTAAGAATCAGTAATCTGTAGGGGCCGGGGATTTAGCTCAGTGGTTTCACTGCCTGCTGTGCAAGCACAAGGACCCCAGTTTGATCCCCAGTACCAAAAAAAAGAATCAGTAACCTAGGAATTTTACCCATAGTCATTGTTATAAGAGGGATCAATTAATTCTGAGGCATGGAGGGAAGTTAGGGAAACCTACACAGAGAGAAAACATCTCTCCTAGCCCTGGAAAAAGGTGACACATAGAGATGAGAAAGAGCATTACAGAAAGAAAGAGGAGGAGGAGGAGGAGGAGGAGGAAGAGGAGGAAGAGGAGGAAGAGGAGGAAGAGGAGGAGGAAGAGGAGGAAGAGGAGGAGGAGAAGGAAGAGAAGGAGACAGAGGAAAAGAATGAAGGAAGGAGGAAGAGGAAAAGGAAGAGGAAGAAAGGAGAAAGAAAATGGAGGAGGGGAAAGAGGAAAAGGAGGAAGGAAGAAAAGAGGAGAAAGAAGAAGGAGGAAGGAGAAAAAAATGAATGAACAAGAGGAGGAGGAGGAAGTAGAAAGATGAAAAACAGACATAAAAAGGTACAGTAATGACAGTTTAGGCTGACTGGACTATGGAAGACATGAGGAAAACTGGGAAATAAAGAAGGTGGGTTCTGGCCAAGACCTAAATCTGTGAGTAGTCAGGAGGGAAAAGAGGAAGGGTGGTGGGCAGTGAGTAGATCTCTGCCTCATAATCTGACAGCAACTCGAAGGAGAGGCAGAGGGCAGGTTCCAGGCACAGGAATCCGTGGGGAAGTTAGGTGACAGTCGAGCCAGATGTAGATCAAGGTGCTCCTACAATAGAGGCAGTGAGGATGAAGAACAATGACAAGGTCCGGGTGCAGATCTGGCCAGGGACTAATTCCTGCGGTAGAGCTCATCCTTCAGCAGAGACCAGGAAGGTTTCAGGTTTGGAGAGCACAGGGTCTGACCGGGTGTGGGGTGGCTGCACGTCTGGTCTGGACATGCTGCAAACGGGGTTCAGACACAGAGGGGCCCTCAAGGTGCCACGGAGGGAGAGGTGAGGGGCCAGCCAGAAACATTCAGGTGGGATTAGGGCAGAAAGCGCAAAGCAGGGGGGAAGCAGACAAAACAATGGGGAGGAAGAAAAGAGGGCAGGTGACCACGTCGCCCACATCTGCGGCTGAGAATTTGCTCCCTGCCTCATTCCACCACAAGGGTGTGTTAGCGGGCTGCAGCGTCATCCCCAAGTCCTGCTCCTGGGGGCGCAGAGCCCAGCCGAGACTTCCGGTACCTCAGCGTGTCGGGGTGCGAGGCGTCGCAGCTGAAGAGGAACTCGGCGGCTTCCGCGTCACTGACCGTGCCTCCTTCCGCCACTGTGGAGGCAAAAGCAAAAGCACAGGGTGAGCCTCGCAGGCAATCTGGCAACTGCCCTGCCTCTCGCGGCCCTTCTGCAGGCTTCCCACCCCAGAACTGCCTCAGGTCCTGGCTGACGCTGCCACAGAACCACCCGCGCTGCCCTTGAAACATGGCGCCACCTGGGCCAGGAGGACCGAGGGGAAGGTGTGGCCGGCAGCCGAGAGCACTGATTGGCCCGTGGTTCTAGGATGAGCTCATTGATTGGTTCTCAAAAGCAAAAGGCGGGAAAGGCCTTAGGCCGAAGAGGCAAGGTCACTACTGCACAGAACTGAGGTGCTGGCAGTGGCGACGGTGGAGGAGGAGTTCACTGGCACTGGTGAGTTTGAGTATTTAGAGTTACTATGCAGTGTTGTATAGCCACTGGAGCCAGTCCTGAGGCATCACATATTATTTTGAAGCAAAACTCATTATTTCATCTATAAAATGTCACTTTGAATCTCCAAAAGATGAGGACCTTTTCATATATATTTACTACTACTACTACTAATTATTATTATTATTATTATTATTATTATTATTATTATTGGCTTTTTGAGACAGGATCTTCTATATAGTTCAAACTGGCCTTGAACTCACTATGCAGTCCAGGCTGGCCTAGAATTCACAGTCCTCCTGCCTCAGCCTCCTGAGTGCTTTATGGTTTTCCCCCACCATACATGGCTTTGTGCCTTGTATAGTTTGACAGTTTTCTCTGTCAGTTTCAGCTCTATATAAATTCTATGTACTTTATTGGTATCAAATCCCCATTCTTCTAGTTTCCTGAAATAGTTGATTTTCATCCTTTGTTTTTCTAATATGTGCATATAAGGCCATAAATTTCCTTTTAAACTGTATGCCACAGTTTGTTTTGTTTTGTTTTGTGTTACTGGGAGTTGAACCTAGGGCCTCACACATGGTAGGCCGGTGCTCTACCACTTAGCTACGTACAACCAAGTTCCCTATAATTGTTTGAGATGTCATTTCTTATCACTCAGTTCAAAATATTTTCAGATTTTCATTATGAGTTTTTTGACTCATGAGATTTGAAATACTTTTAGATGTCCAAATACATAACAATTTGCTAGTTATCTTTTGATTGATTCCTTGTTTAAATGCGTTAAGCCAAGAATATGGTCTGCTTATAATCGTTTGGATTTTGACATTTTTCTTTATAACTGATCAGCTTATCATCAGTGTCCTGTGTGTGTTTAAAAAGAAGGTTGGGAAGCTGTTGGATGTTCTGGAGTGTTGGGTACAGTCTTATACAATTGCTCATTGGGCTTGTCAATCATATTGTTAAACATGTCTGATTCTCCATCAATTACTGAGAAAGCCATGTAGAAATTTTGTACTTTAATTATGGATTTATCAATTTCTTCTTGTATGTCTGCTAATTTTTTCCTTATATATTTTGAAGTTGCGTTGTTAAGTACATGTAAGTACACTTGTTATTATCATCTTGTTGACTGAACCTCTAAGGACTTAAATTTGAAAAGGGAAAACTTCAAAACATATAGACTAGGGGGTGGAGATTTAGCTCAGTGGTTCTGTCGCCTGCCTTGCAAGCACAAGGACCTGAGTTCGATCCCCGGTACCAAAAAAACCCCAACAAAACAAAACATATAGACCAGAGGAGAATGTCTTTCTGGCCCCAGTGTAAGAAAAGATTTTTTAAAACGAGGCACAAATGTTAATCATGACAGAAAAGATATGTAAATATGGCTACATTAGTCTTCTCTTAAAGTTATCAAACTTTGTAAACATACAAGCCACATAGCAGAGTAAAATATCTGCAGCACAAATAACAAGCAAATATCATACATCTTTTGATTACCATCCAAGGTCTGTTTCCAGCAAAGAAGTCACATATTGGTGCTTTTTTATGTTGAAAATGTAATTTTAATAGATAATTCTTCATCTTACATAGGATTACAATAAAATATACCACATTCTGAAGAAACCCCAGAAGTTATGAGAATGAGAGTGAAGAAAATCCAGATGGGCTACAAATCCATTAACTTAAACTGCAAGAGTCAATGATTCCGACCCAAAGGTTAACATTTACACATAAATGGCTACATAAAACTTAAAAATAATAAGAATGAAGAATTAGATGTGGAGAAAGGTGGGAAAGAACACTTTTATGAGGGAAGAAACTCTTGGGGATTTTTTTATCTATCTTTGTTTTGTTTTGTGATACCAAGAATTGAACTCAGGGACTTGCAATTGCCAGGCAGACGCTGCGCCCTAGAGCTACACTCCCGGCCTAGGAAGAAACTCTTATGAATGAAAAATTTACTAAAACCAAATTAAAGAATAAAAGTTCCCATACCATACTAGAAAGAATGGACACAAGACTCATTAATTGAAAGTCTGGTGCTCTTAAAGGAAGAAATCTTTCTGATGACACTTATGCAAGCTGCTTGCTTGAGATATCTTCTTAGTTCTGAAAGGAAAACTTGACAAATATCTCCACAAACCCCATACAATGATCAGATTGGTGTTTCTTAATCACACACCGGTGGTAACACATGAAGTTTTCAGACAACCAAGAAAAAAGTTACAGCCTACATTTGAAGCAAAAAGAAAAAAAATAGTGGCACAACATACAAAAGTCCTAGATGTCAGTTAGAGCTGCTTTCTTTGCTGCAACTCTCCTGTACAGTGATTTTCAAACACTGTGTCAAGACACTAATGATCACCTAAGCAGATAACACAAAACACGTATTTCAGATTTCTAGGGAGTTAAAAAGGTCAGATGCTGATGCTTTATGCATGCTCAGGGCCTGTTTGTAAATTCTCCATTCAGCAATACCTTAACACAAATTTGCATCGGTGAAATGAAATTGGCAGATCCATCTCTTGCCTTTCTATTTGTCAGATGGTGAAGACCAAAACAGAATGCTCCATCAGTTTTAATTTTTATATACAATTGTCACATTGGGAAAATGAAATAAACACAGTAAAATAAACTGTACAAAGGCAAAGTAGAGTAACAAAAAATATTTTACTGAAACATAAGATTTACAGAAGTTTCCAGACAAACCATACAATTCTCCTGCCTTCACCTCCCAGAGTGGTAGGATTACAGGCATGCACCATCACTCCTGGCTTCCTTTCTTAAAAATAGGGGGGGGTTTTGGTACCAGGGATCGAACTCAGGACCTTGTGCTTGCGAGGCAAGCGATGGAACAACTGAGCTAAATCCCTGGCCCTTAAAAAATAGTTTTATTGGATGTGAGGGGGATCTGGCTGCGACATCTGTCACCCCATTGATCGCCAGGGTTGATTCAGCTGATCTGGCTGGCTAGGCGGGCGTCGCCTTCCTCCCTCACCGCTCCATGTGCTTCCCTCCCGAAGCTGTGCGCTCTGAAGAGGACGACTACCCCTGATAGAGGAGGACCGTTTCCTGAGTCAAGGGTATACGAGTAGCTGCGCTCCCCTGCTAGAACCTCCAAACAAAAAATAGTTTTATTGTGGTATAATTCATATCCTGTAAAATTTTCCCATTGTAAGTGTACAGTTTACTAATTTCAAGTTTATATCATTATGCAAACATTCATTTTTGAGAAGTTATTTTCCAACCAGGCATGGTGGCACATGCCTGTGATCCCAGCACTTGGAAGGTTGAGGCAGAAGGATTTCTGTGAGTTTGAGGCCAGCCTGGGCCACATAATGAGTTCAAGCCCAGCCTGAACTACATAGCAAGACCTTGACTCAAAAAAAAAAACAACAAAAAAGGGCTGGGGATTTAGCTCAGTGGTTTCGCCGCCTGCTGTGCAAGCGCAGGGATCCAAGTTTGATCCCCGGTACCAAAAAAAACAAAACAAAACAAAAAAAAGCAGCCATTTTCCAAATTTGGGTTAGAATTCTTTCACCCTACTCATTCTAACTAATCACAATTCTAACTTAATCACAACTTTTTTTTTCCAGTACCGGGAATCGAACTCAGGACCTTGCAAGTGCGAGATAGGCAGCAGAACCATTGTGCTAAATCCTCAGCCCATTAATCACAACTTTTACCTAGAATTTTCTTCCAGTGCATATTGACCTCCCCTTTCTCTGAATTTTGTAATCCTTGTCTTTCCCCACAGCAGACTGTAGATACCGATTATAAGGAACTCTTAAGAGGTAGCAAGTAGGTTCTCTTCTGTTTCCCAAACTCTTCATCATGCTACTTGAAATTCTTGACACTGTACCTAGAAGCCCACCATTAGAAATATTTACTTATTAAATGTGGAATGTATATTAGCTAGTAATGTAATGTGTCTGTTCAATTTTCTGAATTTGCTCTTTTTGCGGGGAGGGGTAAAGGGGATTGAACTCGGGACCTTGCGCTTGCAAGGCAGGCGGCAGAACCACTGACATAAATCCCTGGCCCTCATTTAGTTTTTTAAATTTTACTTTTGAGACAGGGTCTCACTATGTAGCCCAGGGTGGCCTTGCACTGAATTTGATAATTTAATACTCTGGTTCTGTAAGAGAATAAATATCTGGTTCTTAGGAGACAGTCGCTGTATTTAAGAATATGTATTAATAACGCTTGTAACTTCATCTAAAGTGGTTCAGCAGAAATAACAAGAGTAATCGTATACTCACTAATCGTAACAGTGTAGAGGATAGAGACCGAAAAAATGTGGCATAGCATTGATAGTTGGTGAGTCTAGATGGAAAGTAATGGGAGGCTGCGATACAAATGTATAACCTTTTGGGCCGGGGATTTAGTTCAGTGGTTCCGCCGCCTGCTGCGTAAGCTCAAGGATCCGAGTTCGATCCCGGCACGAAAAACAAAAAAAAAAGGTCCAACCTTTTGAGGTGGAGGAGGAGGCAGCCGGACCGAGCAAGCAGCACCATGTCGGCGCCTGCGGCCGGAGTCGGTAAAAAGGAGCTCAACTCCAACCACGACCTGGCCGCCGAGACCTCAGAAAAAGAGCAACAAGAAGCAGTTGAACATACTGATGAAGTACAAAATGAAATAGACAGACTTAATGAACAAGCCAGTGAGGAGATATTGAAGTAGAACAGAAATATAACAAATTCCACCAACCATTTTTTCAGACGAGATCAGAATTGATCACCGAAATCCCAAGTTCTTGGGTAACGACATTCATTAACTATCCACAAGTGTCTGCACTGCTTGGGGAGGAAAACGAAGAGGCGCTGCATTATTTGACCAGAGTCAAAGTGACAGAATTTGAAGACATAAAATCACGTTACAGAATAGGTTTTTATTTTGATGAAAATCCTTACTTCAAAAATAAAGTTCTCTCCAAAGAATTTCATCTGATTGAGAGTGGTGATCCATCTTCAAAGTCCACTGAAATCAAATGGAAATCAGGAAAGGATGTGACAAAACGTTCAAGTCAAACACAATAAAGCCAGTGGGAAGAGGCAGCATGGAAACCCGAGAGCTTCTTTACCTGCTTTACCGACCATGCTGACGCGGGCACAGATGAGTTAGGAGAGGTCATCAAAGATGACATTTGGACAAATCTGTTGCAGTACTACTTGATTGCTAATGTGGATGACAAGGGAGGGGAAGGAGAAGGACATGATGGTGATGAAGAAGAAGGCTTGGAAGACACTGTTGAAGGGGATGAGGATGAAGGTGAAGAAGATGTAGATGATGATGAAGGGGAGGAAGGAGAGGAGGATGAAGGAGATGACTAATTGAACACTTTTCTTTTTTTTCCTTTTTCCTTAATTTCCTCCAGTCCCTGGGAGCAAGTTGCAGTCTTTTTCCCTCCTCTTGTGCTCAGTCGCCCAGTTCTTGAAGTCTTTTCTCAAACGCCGTGGTTCCCAACTTACTTTGTGGGGAGATACCTTGAGCAGAACACAACTGGAAAAGGGTCTCCACAACCTTCTGTTCTAAATTCATTTTGACCCCCTCTTGTCTCCACACAAACTGTGGAATCAACACCACCGTGCTCTGTGGGGAAAAAGGAAACCCTTCTGCTCCCTTCGCTCTTCGGGAAGCTGGAGGGCGCTCGGCCCCTGGGCAGTAGTGCATAAAAGTCTAGCTCTTTTCCTCCTTTCTCTGTATGTTGGGCTCAGAGATTACACTATGTCTCTATGTGAATATGGACAGTTAGCATTTACCAACACGTACCTGTCTACTTTCTCTTGTTTAAAAAAAGAAAAAAGACTTTAAAAAATGGGGTATAGAAGGTCAGCAAAGGGTGGGTTTGAGATGTTTGGGTGGGTTAATCGGGCATTTGACAACATGGCTTCTCCTTTGGCATGTTTAATTGTGATGTCAGCAGACGTCCTTGCAGTTTAAGATGACATTTTTAAAATAAAATACTCTCCTAATGATGACTTGAGCCCTGCCACTCGATGGGAGAATCAGCAGAACCTGTAGGGTCTTATTTGGAATTGACATTCTTTATTGTAATTTTGTTGGTTTATTTTTAAATTCTTTTTTATTTTCACGGGAAAGGAAAAGGTAATGCGCAGTTTTAAACATTCAAAGTGTATCAGTTGCTTTGTTACAATAAAACTATATGGGGGGGGGACACAAATGTATAACCTTTTTATAAGTTTAAGTATTTTTCTTTCTCTTTTTCTTTTGTAGTACTGAGGATTAATCCCAGAGCCTCACAGTCCTAGGCAAGCACTGTACCACTGAGCTATATTCCCAACCCTAAGTTTTCATTATTTTTTAAAACAAAAAGATTTTATTAAAAAGCCGTATTCCTTTAACTCAGTGGTTTTCTGTCTTAGCCACACATTGGAATCACCCAAGAAATTTTAGAAACTACAGCTGCCTCAGCTCTGCCTGCAATGGAGTTTTTCTAACTGGTCATAGGTGGGGCCCAGGCATCAGAAGATGAACCTAATACACAGCATCCATTACATCGTAGGAATAATGCATGTCCCTTATATCTTAGAAGTGGACTTGTAGTCAGATTCTTTTCCTATATATCGGCCATACCTTAGAAGTGAATTACAGTTTAGTCAAGCTGGGAGTAGTGGTACGTGCCTGTACTATTTGAATATAGAAAAGCAACTGCCCCTCATAGATAAAGCAAGCAAAGGGGACTGAGAAAGGAAGAAAAAGAGTCAGATTTGCTATACTAAAAAGTATACTGAGAGAATTCAAAACAAGATTATACTCTAGTTCAGACCATCTACTACCTTTTTCTTGAAGTCTCTGCAGCACGTTTTTAAAAAATTACATAATAAGTTCTAGAAAATAAGGGAGAAGAAATTTTATGTCAAAAGGTAATTAAATAAGAAGGAGAGTGCTCATGAAGCTGGGCCTGGTGGTGGTATCCCAGCACTCTGGGAAGCTGAAGCTAGGATGGGCCCAGCCTGGGCATCTTGTGAGTTAGTGAGACCCATCTGAAAGTAAAAAATAGAAAGGGTATGGGGATGTAGCTCAGTGTAGAAGCCCTCGATTCAATCCCCAATACACACACACACACACACGTGCACGCACACACGTGCACATGTGAAAGTAAATCTAATTAGAATGTTTGTGCTGGAAAAATAATGGTGCCATGATAGTTCCTGGGCACATTTGAAAAGGTTTTCCAAGCATCCCAAATTCAAGTTTGCTTCAGTAACAATGACATGATGGTCATTCTCATGAGAGGGGCTCCTATGTTACAGAAGACCTCGGAGAAGTAGATGCCACCCGGAAAGGTGCCCATGAAACCCATTGAGGACTCTGAGAATGAAATTCCATGTATGAGCCCTGTTATTCTGAAGTTCTCCATGCACTGAGAAGATAACCCACTGAGACTGGTAAACTATTTCAATACTCCTTTAATAACACTCTGAATTTACACAATAGTATGACTGATCACTGTGGGTGTAAGATACGCAGTGGTTCTTTATTCTCCCCACCATCATTAAGGCAAGGGCAGAAGTAGGGATAAAGTTTCTCTGTGAAAGTGCTATTGAAGGTGTAAATGTGGGTCATGGTATTGGCATTATAGAAGGACACCTGCCCTCCCTCGTAATCCAGGTAAATGCCCACCTTGGTAAGGTTGTTGGCCAGTGGCAGACTGCAAGAAGGCAAATCCAAAGCCTTTAGGTCAGTTTGGTTCCTGAGTCTTAAGAGCCAGAATCCTCGCTCTGGAGTTAGAGGACAGTTGCCCTTCCGAATGATGGACTCTCTGGCAACTCCAACTGTCCATTTTGTCTTCTTTGCTACTTTGACTTCCCAGTACCACTTTCCAGATTCGAAGCTTTTGGAGCCCAGCACAGCCACACTTGAGTCGAACCTCTCTGGATCATTGGGCATTATCTTCTTAGTGTCACCATGCCAGACACTGGTCCGGTCTTTGGATAGCACTAGATTTGGGTGAGCTGTTTTAGGGTCCAGGGTTAATGGACATAGGCCTAGTAGTAAGAGAAAGCAGGGCATGGGAGGAAAGAGAAGTGAGTGGGAATTTCCACCGGAAGAGACAGCATTTACCTACCTCAGTGCTTTATCTCTCCATACACACAAAGTTTTAGACATACTGTAGGGCGTATTTATAGGCTTTTTATTGTTTAGGTATCCGTGTTCTATTTCCAGACATTTTTATATTAAGGGCAAAAATCAAGCTTTACAGTGAAGTAATTTATGTCTACTAAAGGAAACAATACACATAATGTAAATCTGTACTAATAAACGCAAAAGTACCAAAGGGGTAAAAATTAGATAAGGTTGCCCTGAGAAATCTTTCTAAGGAAAATAAGTATTTTGTTGTGAGAGAATAAGCGAGATGTATTTGCAATGCTTTGTGGGTAAACAGTGGGGGAAAAGTAGAGTAAATACAATCACCTCTGTGGGAGAGATAGGTAAGACTTAGCTAACTGCTAGGTTTTAGATGCCAATAGTGAGAAGTTTATATTGGATTTAACAGATAATGAGACATCTGAGATCTGGTGTGATTCATGCTCAGCATGTGGCCTACAAACTGGTTCCTAATCTGGGATAATTTATGTAGAAATTGAGAGTAAGATTTGAGGAACTTTTATAGCAATCTGAAGGAGCAGTTTCATGTCCAGTGAATTAAAATTGGGTCTTTTCTTTTTAATCTTTTTAAATATCAGATTCTAAGTAATTACATTGTATTCCTAAAAAAATATCACTTCATGACAGATTGAGATTTAAAAAATATGTGGATGCTTAAAAAGTTGATTGCATACAAATAGTAATCACTAGAGTCTAGGAAGAGTAGCAGAGAGAAGGGGGAGAATGGGATTGGGTAGGAGAAATGATTCTACTGTACTCTAATTCAGTAGGGCACTGTAATCGACAGCAGTTTATTATCTATTTCAAAATAACTGAAAGAGTTTGAAGCTTCTTGATATATAGGAAGGAGAAATGTTGGAGGAGATGGAAATGCTAAATGCTAATGACACAAATTCTAGGTGTGAGATAACCAGACATTGGCATGAAATTTGATAAAGGAACTATAATAACTGTGTGGTCACATCATGAACACAGATATATCTGCATATATTTGTTGTTATCGGATTTATTTATCCTTGGAAGTGAGATGGGTAGAGCTCAGCTGTCTTCCTGGAAGAGCCTGAGCCTTTTCCATCATCCCAAGGACTTCTCTTTTGAACAAGAGGCTTAGAAGAGTTTAAAATCCTGAATTTTTCTGTATAAGGTGACTCCCCACCCCCTCACGTACCCCCATGCACTTTGGGTCATTAATCTTCCCAATTCGAGGACTGGAATTTCTTTGACAGTGCCACCAGGACCTCTTACCAACCTTTTTAGGATCCAGCTTGCTCACACCAAGCCTCTGACATTTGTGGCTAGCTCAGCCTGCACTGGCTCTAGAGATAACCTGTGTACAGCAGCTCCGTGTCCTGTGTTTCCTTCTTGTGTCATGCTTGTCACAGATAGTTCTGTCAGCTCCACACAGCCGCAGAATAGCTGTGTTTTTGAACCTAAGCACTCCTGACTACTTTCACAAATGCGTCAGCCTGAATGACTAGAGTGGCCTTTTACCCTTCTGTTTCTATTCCTGCCCATCTGCAGCCTAATTTGCTTATCACGAGTGTAGTTGTACAGTTCCCTTCCCTTCCACTTCCTGTTGCACCTGAGATAAAATCCAGAGTCCTTGGAGAGATAACAAGAGCCATCTGGTTTACCCACCTCTCTGACTTCATCTCCACACAGCCCTCTTGCTTACTTTGATCCAGTTTCCCTTGCCTTTTGACAACTCCTTGAACATTCCCAGCTCATTCCTACTTTAGGGTCTCCAACACCTCCCCACCACCAGTATTCTTTCCCTACATGGTTCATGCCACATTATTCAGGCCTTTGTTCATGCAAATTAAATAAAATGTTAGTCTCTGTCATGAGTATTACTAGGAGTGTTCATTGTAAAATTCTTCAAACTTTTTTGTGTTTGGAAACCTGTACAATATAATGTAAGGGGAAAGGAGTTACCGTCTCAGAGACGTTTTCTCTGGCCAGCCTAAGTACAACCCTCTTTCTGCCATCACTGCTTGGTCTTCTGCTTTATATTTTCTTGTGAGGAAATTATTTATTTTAGTGTATGTGCTACCGAAGCGAGCACTGAAGTTATTTATTGAATGTACCCTGCTTTATTTTCTTCACAGTTGTTATCACTGTTGAGGTTATTTACTTCTTTGTTTGGGGGGGGTTGTTTGTTCTATTGTTGTTGTTGTTTTTTCCCAGTACCAGGGATCGAACTTGGGACCTTACACTTGTGAGGCAGGTGAGGCACCACTAAGCTAAATCCCCAGCCCTATTGTTTTTTGAGACAGGGTTTCACATGTAGTTGCCCTTGAACTCACTGTGTAGCCAGGCTAGCCTCGAACTCACTCACAGCAGTCCTCCCACCTCAGCCGCCTCGGTGCTGGGTTTATAGGTGTGCACCACCATACTTGGCCTAATTATTTATTTCTTCACTGTGCATCTCCTTCACCAGAATATCATCTCTGGGCAGGCAGAGCTCATCTGTTTTGTTTCCTCATGTATCTTTAAAATTGGAAACTGTTCCTAGGTGTCTAACTTTACTGAAGTTCCATGTGGAGCCTAAATCTTCCATGCTTTTGTTCCTGTGACCCTTCGGTCACACCAGACTGTAAACCCTGCCAGGGATTTATCCTCTCTGCTGCTCTTTTCCCTGTATTCTCTTCTTTTCCTCTCTCCACACATCCTCTTATTACTCATCTTTCTGCTCCCACCGAACCCTTTTCCAGTCTGCTTTTGGGTCTCCCTTCCCAGCTCTCCAGCAGCACCTGTTTACAAAATTCGCTCTTTACCTCCCTGCCTAAACAAAAACCGTGGCTGGCACACCCCTGTACATCCAGCACTCAGGAGGCTGAGGCAGGAGGGTCACGGAGAGAGGCCAGCCTGGGCTACATAATGAGTTCAAGATCAGCCTGAACTGCAGTGACACCCTGTCTCAAAAAACAAAAACAGAAACCTTGTGGTTCTTCCCCCCAAAATACACAGCTTCCATGGGACTATTCCTTCTCTAAATCAGTTGCCTGAGATCTGCTAGCCCCAGTGCCACTCCCAGACCACTGCTGTACTCCTCACCCTCGTGTGAAAATCCCTCGTTAGAGTCCCTCGTTATGTGATGCTGTTGTATACAAACCCCCTGGCCTTAGGGGCTTTCCACTCCTGGCCCCTAAACCCAGCCGCCCTCCCTTGGACACAGCCACCTCTCTTCCCTCCTTGAAGGTCCTTGACTTCCCTGCCACAGACTTTTTACTTCATTACCTTCAGATATCCTTACCAGAGACCTCCAGACCCTACAGTCATTGAGAACTAGTCATTCTCTAAAATATTAAATTCAGATATTCCATTCTTTTATTTCTTGAGCTTTCTGACTCTCATTTCCCTCATAACCATTACAGTGGACCCTTGAGTTACAACTGGACTGACATACGAACAACTTGGGTTATGACCGTAATTTTAGTTTTAACTTATGAACAAAATCTTGAGTTACGACCTGAATACTGGCTGCTTGTGCTCCAGATGGTCTCAGATACAGATTTAACCCTTACAGAGCTCTGGAAGGAATACTACAGCACCCTTTCCTGTGTGGGGTTAACTCAGAAATCCTGGGCCAGGGTCTCTCTGAGGACACTGAGATCCACCTGTGTACAGGAGAGGGACTTTGAAGGCTGTGGAGAGGAGCTGAGCCTTCATTGACCAACTTTCGTTACAAACAGCCCTTGGGAACCCTAAGTACAGAGTCCACTGTACTTAGCTTCGTTAACATCTGTAGTTCCTGATTTCTCCTTAGTATCTTAATCTGTTTCCTTCCTGACTTAAAATCCTTCTCTCAACAGCTCAGCTTCCCCCTTTTTTAAATAATCTTAATTTATTTTTGGTACCGAGGATTGAACTCATGACCTTGGGCTCGTGAGGCAGGCGTGATGCCACTGAACTAAATCCCTGGCCCTAACCTTAATATTTTTATCCCCTTGCCTGCCATGCAGTTTTGCAGCCCTGCATCTAACTACCCATTCAAATTCACATCCCAGCTCTGACTATAGCGTTGTGCAGATAGATACTACTACAAACTCATTATTTTCACTCTACGCTAGATCATCAACACTGCCCACAAGTCCTATATTTCCCAAATCAAACTCTCTCTGGTTCTTTACAACAACTTCAGATCTTCGACTCCCTCCTGAAACGTTTTATTCCACCACTTATTCCCTTACTCGGAGTCAGAAGGTTTCGTCTTCTGCTTCACAGAGAAAATAAAGTACATTCTGTAGAACCCCACAGTCCTTCCCACTCATACTGCAAGGTCTCTGGCAAAACTGTCAACCTCCACCATCTTTCTCTCCTCTCCTCTTCCAGGGGAAACGGAAGTCAGTGTCTCCCCCTCCCCCGCCTTCCCTACTTCTACCAGTTCTGCCTTTTCTTCTTTTTAAAAATTTTCACATTTGTGGTACATAATGATTACATTCATCATGGAGAGCTGATACTTGTACAAAACACATTTTAAGGACCGGGGATTTAGCTCAGTGCTGCCGCCGCCTGCCCCGCAAGCGCAAGCGCAAGGACCCGAGTTGGATCCCAGGAACCAAAACCAAAACACATCTTAATTCTTTTTGTTCTCCTTCCCCTCCTCTCCCTCCCTGCTCCCTCCATCTCTCGGATCCCCTTCTCATTTTATGCCCTTTCTCAGAAGCATTGATTCCAGCCTTTCTACATGGATTCTTCCTTCTGGCATATTTTTTAAAGTCCTCTTTTGAGCCCAATGGTAGAGCACTTTCCTAACATGCACAAGGTCCTGGGTTCAAACCCCAGCACTGCAAAGAAAAAGTGTCCTTTGACTCTTATATGTACGTTCCCTTCTCGGTCACGCTTCTCAAACAGGTGACCCTTTCATTTCACTACTGCCTCATTTCCAAACCACTCCTGAATACATAACAATATAATTTCTACCCATCCCATTCTTGAAGTCGTTGTCAAAGTCACCGCTTCTGTTGTCTAGTAGTTTTCTTAGTAACCATCTCTAAATCTGGCATGAGTGACCACACACTTCTCTCTCTCTCTCTTTTTTTTTTTGGTACTGGGGATCGAACTTGGGACCTTTCGGTTGTGAGGCAGGCAGTGGGCACCACTGAGCTAAATCCCGGCCTCCACACATTTCTCTTTGACACTCTCTTCCCTCAGATTCAAGTCAACTTTATTTCTTGGTGTTTCTCTTATTTCTGCTGCCGTATTCCTCAGACATACATCTGATAAAAGACTTATATCCTTTATAACTTATCATTAATGCAACTCAATAAAAATATGGGCAAAAAATTGAACATAATTAACAAAAAAGTTATATGAATAGCAAAGAAACGTGAAAAGTTGCTCAACTTTTCAGGATGATCATTACAGATATACAAATTAAAACCACAATGAGATATTACTGTACTTCAGATAAAATAATTAAATTGAAAAGATTGACAATATCAAGTTTTGGCAAGGATGTAGAAACTAGGACTGCCATCCAATGGAAGTGGGAAGGGAAATGGTACTGCTATTTGAGAAAAAATAAACGTTTCCTGGTTTCTTATAAAATTGAACATACATTTAGCAAACACCCACAAATCCCACCACTTGATATATACCCCGAAGAAATTAAGACACAAGGATATGTAAACAGATAGTCACACAACTTTATTCATAATGGCCCAAACTGGAAACTACCCAAATACACATCAATTGGTGAATGAATAAGCAAATTGTCATGTATCCATAAAACATAATTATTGATACACTCAAGAGCATAGGTCAATCCCAGAAGTTACTGTGCTAGGTGCGAAAAACAGACACAAAATATGGCACAAAATATGATTTCACTTGTGCAATAGTTCCGAGAAGACACATCTAACGTAAAATAAAGCACCTCAATGAGTGTTGGAGGTTGGGAGAATAAGGGAGGAAATGATTGCAAAGGGTGATGTTGGAATTTTTTTGGACTGACAGAGATTTCCTGTTTTGGTTATGGAGATATAGGTACATAAGTGCATAGTCTGTCACAACTCATCAAATTGTACACTAGATGCAAGGAAAGTGGACTAATTTTATGCTATGTTAATGATGCCCCAGTAAAGCTGACTTTCTTCCAGTGTCAATATCCTAGAAAAATTATTAACAGGGATAAATTTGTAACTTTAATGAAATCTACAACAAGTGATGAGTCAGTCTATTTTCACTCTTAAAAAACTTTCAAACGGGCTGGGGATTTAGCTCAGTGGTTGCACTACCTGCCTCACAAGCAGAAGGACCCAAGTTCGATCCCCGGTACCAAACACAAAACAAACCAAAAAAACTTTCAAACTTTATTTCTATAAAAATTTGTATTTAGAAACATAATTTAATGTTCTGGAAATGCCATTTCCGTTTTTTTCTCCTGCTCGATCCTTTGGTATGTGCAGGAATACAAAAACTTAGCACTTAGTAACCTTTTTAGACACATTTATTGAAATTATTGGTTTTCTTCAGAAGCACTGAAGAGCTCTAATTTCCTAAGAGAGGATGCTTTATGCTGTGACCCTCAAATGCAAGACCTTATGTGTACAGAAAAAGCGTGTGCAGAAACCTTCAGGGATTTATATAGCTGATTTAACAAAACAGGATAAGGTTTTGGCTGGTTGCCATATTTTATAGAACAATCAAAATCAGGCAGAGAAGTAATTCTAATAGAGTGGACCCTTGACTTAAAAACTCAGTTTGTTCTCAAGGGCTAGCTATAACTCAAGTTGGTTGATTGAAGGCTCAGGCTCCTCCACCAGCCTTCAAAGTCTCTCTCCTGTACACAGGCGGATCTCAGTGTCCTTAGAGAGACACTGGCCCAGGATTTCTCAGTTAACCCCACACAGGAAAGGATGTTGTAATGTTCCTTCCAGAACTCTGTAAGGGTTAAATCTCTGTCTGAGTCCATCTGGAAGCACAAACAGCTAGCATTCAGGTTGTAACTCAAGACTTTGGTCTTAAGATAAAACTAAAATTTCAGTTGTAGCTCAAGTTGTTCCTATGTCAGGCCAGTCATAATTCAGAGGTCCACTGTATCATTATGGAGTCATATATTCTTAGATCATAGCAAGAGAGGAAATTCAGTCATACTAACCAGCTTCCTTTTGGCTAAATGCTAACCTTCCCCCACATCAGATTCTAAAGAACCAATCAGGGCCCCAGAAGGGTCCCATCGATTACCAGCCCTGGGAACCAGTAGTCTAGCCCACAATACCTGGAGAGAGCGTGAACTGCATTTCCTTCCAGATCCTGTACTGGATGGGACCTCTGAACAGGCCGGGGGTCAGCTTCCTGGAGATCAGCCCTCTGGGCACCAGCTCCCAGGTTCCTTTTTCCAAGCTGCAGGGACAGAAGTCTGCTTCTTAGACCCTCTCCAGGACTGATGGAGGGTGTCAGGAGTACCACAGGGAAACACTCACCTAGTCAAGAGATGTGTGATGTCCTAAGAGAGGAAAGGAGAAAGACAGGAGTCAGATACCTGCTCATCAACTCCAGAAGTTTCTGTTGACTCTGATCACCACCAGAATCCGAGAGTCAGTCCGTACATCCCATGTACCTGTGTAGATGGTCCCCAACCGACTTCCAGCATCTTTCACCCTCCCTACGCTTTTGCTGATCTGCATCTCCCATCTAACCTAAGATAAATTGGCCTTCCCTTGCTTTGATTTCCTAAATTCTCTTTTATAGGCAAGAAGAGAGAAGCCAATACGACAATAATTAGGGATAAACGTTGTTGTTTTGTTTTTGAAAGAGGGCCTCTTGCACTCACAAGGCAAATACTTTACCACTGAGCCATATCCCCAGCCCTTCTTACTATATTTTGAGACAGGATCCTGCCAAGTTGTACAGGGTGGCCTCGAACTTGTGGTCCTCCTACCTCGGCCTCCCAGGAGGCTGGGATTTCAGGTGCCACCATACCCAGCTAAAGTTAAACTATCTTTTACTCATACTTCCAAATAGTCTCAGAAGAAAAGCACAGTAGACATTCCAGTCCCAAGGGCACCTTGCTTCCTCCTGCTAAGCTTCTGAGGTGACAATGTCACGGGCTAGGGCCAAGTCCGGCTTCCATCTTTTCAGAAAGGTCAGTGCATGATTGCTGAGAGCCAAAGATTCAACACAGCCTGCCACATTCTTATTTTTGAGAAATAGATTTTCAGAACTCTTTATGGAAAAAGATGAAAGTATTACTACACACTGTGGTGTTATTAATGGGATTTTATTATCTTGTTTTCTAGAGGGTGAAAGCAAAGCTTTCTGTGGACCATAAGGCAAAAGCAGCCTCCTGCTTTTTTCCTAGAGAATTTTAAAAAGCACTACAGCAGTTGTGTGTTTTGTTTTGTTTTGCCCTGGTGGTGAAAGGCCACTGCCACGTGCATCCCAGCCCCTGTCCCCCATCTGGGGCCCCCAGCATCCTGTGGAGTCTCACCTTGAGGAATTCGAAGGTGTTCTGCTGTTCCATCCGAGTCTTGATGCTCGCCAGCATATCTTTGGCGTGGAGAACCTGCTGCTGAAGCTGGTTCAGGCTTAGCTCCATCTCCTCGCTCAAGGCTCTCCCTTCCTCCTGGAGGGCCTTCACAATGTCCTTCTCTTTATTATGCAGGAACTGATGCAGCTTTAGAAACTCCAAGGACACGTGCTCCTGCAGATGTACCTTCTCTTCCTGGAAACTCCGTGTTCACCACAGGTATTACTAACACTAGCAGATGGTGTTGAGGGCCCATATCACTTATGCTAACACAACTCGGGAAATACCAGGCAGGAAAATGCATGTAAGTCAACCTTCAAACCTGCTGAAAAGGAGCCCTTTGGGAGACTTACTCCCGCTTTCCCAAGTTTAATAGTTTAGGATGAAACAGGCAAAAGTGGCCGTTAGGTTTTTGTTGTATAGCATTGTGGAGTTGAATAATACCCTCCTAGACTGTCACACCAGTGTCAGGCAGTACTGTTAGGCTGGGGCCACAGGCCCCTGGAAGAGCCGCCCTTACCTAGAAAGCAGAACCCTAAGAGGATGCTGCTTCTGCTGCCGGGAGCATCTAACAGAAGTCTGAAGCGCTGAAATTGCTAACTGTTACCCTTTAAGTTCTTCGGTGACCTCAGCCTCCTCACAGGGGAACCCTCGGATATCCCAGCTTCTCAGCTCCTCATTCTCCTCATTTCTGGTGATTCACAGCTTTATCTCATTCCCATAGTCACACCTAGGATTTTCATCAGCCCCAGGAATTGCACTGTCTCCAAAATAACATTTTATGCTGGGAGCTCCCTTACTCAGGAGCTCCTGTTGCAACAAGTATTGGATCTCATTGAAACTCTGAGTCTGTTCCTGAGCTTCTCTCCTCACAGCTCCTCTTTCCCATCTTGGACTCCAGGGTCCATCATTATTAACTGCAGTCTTAACAGCTCATCCCTTCTAGCTCACAATTTCCCTTTCCCTTACACCTCTCTCACCGCTGTTTCTCGGTCTTATTTATTGGTTCCACTTTCTCAAATAAGCTCTAAATATTAGAGTTACCTGACATTCTGTCCCAGCTGCTTTCCTCTTCTCATTCTATTCTTCCTTTCTAAGCAGCACCCTCTCCTCTCATAGCTTTAAATATCATTTAATGATGACACCTTGTCTCCAGCCTAGACGAACTTCTGAGCCCCGGGTCTCTATATCCAACTGCCTGTCTGATATGCCTCTCACATCTGATCAGTTTCCACATCCAGGTTGTTTCTGTTTCCAGAGTACATGCTCAAGGAGTTTATTTCTCTGCATCACCACTGCCTCTCTCTAGTCCAAGCCACTGCCATCGTTCTCTGGGATCCCTGCAGTAGTCTTCTAACTGTGGTCTTTGTCATTACCTCTCTCCAATCCTTTCTCCACACAGCCACCAGAGATATTTGCAGAATGAAATGAAACAATGTCCTGTTTAATGCCCTTTAATAGTTCATCATTATTCAGAGAATGAAGTTTTAAAATGCTTAACATTTCTACACCAGGGTCTACACGACCAAGGCCATATCTGCTTCTTCAATATTATTTTGCTTAGAACACATCAGTTTTATTGTCCTGCTTTTGATTCAGCAAGCAACTTTCTGTCTCAGGTTTTTGTATGTGTATTTCCCTCTTCCTAGAACCTTCTTCTCATGGCCTGTTTTCATATTCCCCTCACCTAGCTCACTTGGTTGTTACTTATCCTTTGATTCTCAATTTTTAATATGTGACTTCTTCAGAGCATACAGTCTAGGTTCTCCATTTATATATCCGTTAAAAAAAATTTTTTGGTACCAGGAATTGAACTCAAGACTTTGTGCTTGCCAGCCAGGCACTGCGCCACTGAGCTACATCCCTAGCTCCATTTATACATTCTTTTTTTTCTTTGGTACTGGGGATCAAACTCGGGTCCTTGTGCTTGTGAGGCAGGTGCTGGAAGCACTGAGCTAAATCCCCAGCCCAATATTTATATATTCTTAACATGCCCTATTTCATGTATAATAGTAATCACCATTATTGTTTTATTGTTATTGATGAATTGATTTAATTAATATCTCCTACTTCCGGAATCTGATATAATACCTGACTCACTCAATAAATATTTGCTGAATGAATCAATGTTGACACTAATAATTGAATTAGGAACTCTTACAAAAGGAAGAAAATTCTATGAATGGCCTGGGGATTTATCTCAGTGGTTCCACTCCCTGCCTCGCAAGTGCAGGGTCCCAAGTTCGATCCCCAGTACTGAAAAAGAAAATTCTATGAAGCCATCATTCTTTCCATCTGTCCTTTCCCTGAGCCTACATATCTCTTCTTCCAGATGCTGAATGCCAGGGAAGGCTCTCCTGCATAGAATAACTAACTAATGAAGAAACAGGGCTCCCAGTTTAGCTCCTCAACTTAGGGATCGATCTGCCAGATCTCTAACCATTAATGTTCTAAAGCTCCTGTGAAGTTGGAAGTATAAGCAATAGCTTTATTTAGTTTGGAAAATGCTAAGAAAGATCAGATCAGCTGGGCATGTAGCTCAGTGGCACAACACCTGCCTGGCAAACTTGAGGTCTTGAGTTCAATTCCTGGTACCAAAAAAAAAAGACCAAATCAAATAGGAAAGGTATGCAACTGGAGGGGTCTAGGTCCAGGATTCTTAGTTGTGAACTCCCAGGAAAGAAAAGAATTTCTTTGGAAATAGCAATTTTTAGTGAATTTTTCTGGTAAATTCCTTATTTTTCCATAAAAAGACTAGACAGATCTCAGCCCCACAATAATCACTTAGTGACTGAATTATCAAAATGATCGGATATTAAGCAGAAAATTAATCTGCTTTGTTATCAACTATTGGCAACCTATTGTGGGTTAAATCTAAAATGTTCCCCAAAGGCCAGCTGATGGGCTTTTAGGAAGTGATTGAATTATGAAGGCATTAATTTCACGTATGGATTAATTCATTGATGAATTCATAGCTGAATGGCTATTAGGAGAAGGGCCTAGGTGAAGGGAATAGGTCATGGGGGCATGACCTTGGGGACTGTATCTTGTCCTTGGTCCTTTCTTTTCTGGCTCTTTTGCTCTTACCCTCTTTCTCTGCTTCCTGGCTGCCATGAGGTGAGCAGCCTTCCTGTGCCACACCCTTCTGCCATGATGTTTCTGTCTCACCATAGACCTGGAGCCAAACAACCATGTACAGAAACCATGAGCTAAACAAACCTCTCCTCTCTTGTTTATCTCAGGCATTTTGTCACAGCATCGAAAAGCTGACCTACACAGAAAATTGCTACTGGGGTCTATATCTGTCCAGGTAGTTTTAGTGCACAGGAGGAGTTTGGAAAATTTTGGAAGAGTGATAGAGAAGCCGTGGAATGCTATAAGCAAAACCTGATGAGAATTCTGGGGTGGGCTTAGAAGTCCAGAATGCAGGCAGTAAAGAATGTGCTCATGAGACTTCAGATGGGAGCATGGACTCTACTGGGAATTGGACCATTCATGTTATACTCTGTCAAAGGATTTGCCTACATCTTGTCCATGCCCTAAAACTTTGTGTAAGGCTCAATTTAAAGGTAATGGACTAGTTTATCTGGAGAAGAAAATTTCAGTATAACAGTATAACATTTAGTTTGTGATGTGGATATTGCTGGCTGCTTTCAACCAGATTTACGGTGGGATTCAGGAGTAAATAGCAAAACAGAAAGATTTATAAATTTTGCAGTTTGGCCAGAAAAGAAGCATGTATAAAGCTGGGAGCAAAGAAGGTATCATTACAGAAGAGATTAGCACCACTGAAAAGAAGGCATGGTGGGGCATGCCTATAATGCCAGGACCTGGGAGGCTGAGGCAGGATGATCACCACAAGTTCAAGCCCAGCCTGGGCTACACAGCATGAGCCTATCTCAAACAAACAATCAGAATTAAAAAGCCAAGGGCTTTATACTGGGACAAGAAGAAAGATGTCTTGAGGGCATCTCAGGAATCAGCCAGACCCCCCACCCATTGCAGGCTCAAGGATGTAAATGTGTAAACCTTTTATTTGAGAAGAGAGCCCCTACACTCATATTGTGGCAACGTGTGCCTTGGTGGCTAGACATGAAGCTACAGAATTTAATATTTGGCCTGCTGAGTTTCAGGCTTGCTTTGGGCCAATTTCTTTCTGTTACCCTATTCCTCCCTTTTGGAAAGGGAATGTTGTTCACTCTGTACCGTGGTATCCTGAGAGAATATAACTTGCTTTTTGAATTTTTATAGGGGCTGACATTTCAGAGCTGTCTTGAGTCTCCTAGGAGACTTTGGACTTGGACTTTGGGTAACACTGGAACTTCTAAGAATTTGGCAAATCTTAGAAATGGACTAAATACATTTTGCACAATGAAATGGATAGAAGCCTTTGAGGTCAGCAATGGAGTGTTATGGTTTGGATTTAAAAAGTCTCCAAAGGCCAGCTGATGGGCTTTAGGAAGTGACTGGATCATGAGGACATTAACCTCATCAATGGATTAATAAATTGACGAGTTCATAGTTGAATGGTGTATTAAGAGGTGGGGCCTAGTTGAAGGAAGTGGGTTATGGGGCATGACCTTGGGGACTATATGTTGTCCTCAATCCCTTCCTATCTGACTCTTTTGCTTTTTCTCTCTTGCTTTCTGATTGCCATGAGGTAAACAGCTTTCCTCTGCCATACCCTTCCATGATGTTTCTGTCTTGCCATAGGCCAGAAGGGAGCTGGTCTGCCATGGACTGACACTTCTGAAACAGTGAATTAAAATAATTGCTTCATACTTTAAATTGTTTATCTCAGATATTTTGTCCTAGCAGTGAAAACTAACACAGTACCTATTCCATGAACGTATTTCCTTCTGGCTCATTTTTGTCAGTTCTCTAATTATATAGCCCATGCCATTTGGCATATTGATAATATATGTATGGGCACCTTTGCCCCCTTGTAGCTGAAGTTATAAGGAAGGTGTAATCCAGTTCTATCTCATAACCCATCTACTCTGCTCCTCACCTTGCAAGAAGCAATAGCATCCTTCTGCTTGTTCCTGAGAGACTGAAGTTCCTTCAGTGTTGTCTCCAGTTGATCCTGGTAAGTGGCAAGCTCCACCTAGAAACACCAAATAGAATGAACCCATCGCAGGGTGGGGGACACAGATATCTCCAAAGCACATTGTGCCAGAACAAGGAGGCTCTTACTGCAAAAATCTTTCCCTTCCCCTGTATCTTAGTTCCTGTCTCTCTGAAGAACTGTGAATGGGGCTGAGGATCTCTCTCAGTGCTTGCATAGTATGGGCTCTGGGTTTGATGCCCAGCACCACCAAAAATTGTGAACATAATTATAAACAGTAGAAAAGCTTAGTTTTGCCCTCTTATTAGCTAACTCTACCAATTTGAAGAAGGCAGTGGAACTCTACATTGTGTCACTCTGGCTACACTGTTCTCACCGTATGTCCTTTTACTTATGCTGTTCTCACTCAGCACACTTGTTTCTTCCCTCTGCCCGTCCAAATATTAACAACTTCCCAGTCCAAGCCCTGTCTCCTTCCTTCACTGTACGCTCCCTGATGTAGCTTTCTCTAGTCCTCTCAGAAATTGTAAACAGCTACAAATTACAAGTGTGACAAAATGTAGTTGTCAACACTAGATTATCGCATATTGCTTCTGTTGTTCTAGTAATTTTAAACTTGACCACATTTTGAAACTTATAACAAGAGCAATATCTTTTACATCACATCATCTTCTGTACGGTATGAGATTGAGGGAGTCAGCTAAAGCCCCTCCACTGTACCTTTCCTATAAACAGCCACTCTGGAGAAAGAACTTTGCAAAATATTTTGTATTTTCTGAACACTCTGAGATTTCTCATTATTACAGTGGACCCTTGACTTACGATCTCAATTTGTTCCCAAGGGCTGGTTGTAACTCAGTTTGGTCAATTGAAGCTCAGGCTCCTGTACACAGGAGAGAGACACTGGCCCAGGATTTCTCAGTTAACCCCACACAGGAAAGGATGCTGTCATGTTCCTTCCAGGACCCTTTAGGGTTAAATCTGTATCTGAGACCATCTGGAAGCCCAAGCAGCTGGCATTTGGGTCGAAACTCAAGACTTTGGTCATAAGTGAAAAACTAAAATTCCAGTTGTAAGCCAAGTGGTTCCTATGTCAGGCCAGTTGTAACTCAAGTGTCCACTGTATTTGGTTAAAGGAGTGAGGCGGGAAGAGAATCCCCACAGAAAGCATTTCCTAACTCTCCTAAGGGCCTGCTCAGGGCTCACACACCGTGAAGACTTGGACAGCGTCGGGGATTTGCAGGAACTCCTTGGACGGCCCCATGCACAGCCTCGAATCCTTGCACTGAAAGCAGATCAGTTTCCCATCTGGCTTACTGAACAGCTTCAGGTTCTCTCCGTGCTCTGAGCACTGTGGATGGTCCTTGAGTAGGGGCAGCTTCTTCACCTTCTCCACCAGCTTCTCCAGCACGAGATTGAATGTGCATTTGCTATACTGACATAGCATCTTGCACTCAGAACAGAATGTTTCCTTTGCTTCCAGCTTCCAGAAATTTTGGATACAGGCTTGGCAGAAGTTGTGGCCACAGCTTAGCATCAGTGGGTCACTGAACCAGTCTTTACACAGTGGGCAGTGCAGCTCTGTCCTAATGTCTTGCATCGCCACATTAGAGGGGACAGGGGAAAATGAGTCATTCACTTCCTGGTTGCCTCGGTTGATGCTGGAGGAGGCTATCGAAGACACCTTGGGAAAAGAACAACTTAAGTGAGCATTCCTCTTTCCTGTTGCCCATTTCAACTTTTCGGGATGGTGGGCTGTATTCCTAAAGCAGCTGATAATTAATGCAACACAGCCAAAGTTCTATAATCTCTCCTTTCATACGGATAAAAAAATTCAGTGTTTTCTAGCACTAGTTCTCTCTTTAATAGAGAACCAAGGAAGAGGAGGAAAGAGTAATCAACCAAAGAAACATATTTTCTACATCTTTCTCTTTACCTGCCTTCCCAATTTATGCGCTGAACACTTTTCTTTCAACTTCTGTGCTAGTTATTACCTTTATTTTTATTTGCTAGGAATCAAATACAGTAATTGGAAGCTCACTGACTTTTCCTGAAATGAAACATATCTGTCCAGCCATTACACTGAGGAAGAAATAGAATGCTATTGGCATCCCACAAGCTCCCATAGGCCTGTTTCCAGGTGATTCCCTTCTCCAAGGTTGACCCCTCTCCTGATTTCTAACTGTCTATTAATTCTGCCTGGATTTGTGCTTTATGTAAATACAACCATAGAATGGTACTATTCTGCTTCTGAATCCTCTTGTTCAACATTGCATTTGTGAGATTTATTCCTACTGTATAGATGGAGTCCAATTGTTCTCACTGCTATATGGCATTCCATTGTGTGAGGATAATAATCAATTTACTTTTCCATTGTATTGTTTTGTTTTGTTTGGTATGGGGGATCGAACTCGGGTCCTCGCACTTGCGCAGCAGGTGGCGAAACCACTGAGCTAAATCCCTGGCCCACTTCCATTCTATTGTTAACAGGCTTTGGGGTTAGTTACCACTTTAGAGCTCCTATAACTAGTGTTGCTACCGACACCCTTGTTCATGTTCTTTGGTGAATAATATATATACATTTCTCTTGGGTATATTCCTGGGAGTAAGGAATATAGGATTGGCATATATTCAACTTAGATATTGCCCAACTTTTCTAAGTAGCTGTGTCAATTAATACCACTACCACTGTTCTCCCATATCCTTTCAACACTTATAGGTGTATTCATTTTAGCTATGAATGTACAGTAGTATTACATTGTGACTATAATCTCCATTTGCCTGGTGACTGTATGTTAGAGCCATTCCTCATGTTTATTGTCCATTTGCCCTCCCCTTTTTGTGAAGTACCTGTTCACAGCATCTATTTATTGTTGTCTTATGTATTTATAGGAACTCTAGATATGTTCTAAATAGGAATTCATCAAATACATGTATTATAAATATCTTTTATTCTGAGTTGTCTTTTCACTTTGTTAATACATATTTTATTGGGCCGGGGATTTAGCTCAGTGGTTCCACTGCCTGCCTCGCAAGCGCAAAGACCCGAGTTCAATCCCTGGCACCAAAAGGAAAAAAATATATATATATATATATATATATATATTTTATTGAACAGAAGTTCTTAGTTCTTTCTTTAAACTTTTATTCTTAAATGTGACACAAATACAGAAAGCGGCATAAAAGAAATGTATCACTTACTGAGTTACTAACAAACACTGCATTTTTGTTTTTGTTTTTTTTTTTTTTTTTTTGTACTTTTTGTACTAGGGATTGAACCAAGGGCCTCTGCACTGAGCTACATCCCCCATCTCCAATCTCTTTTTATTTTTTTAAACTATCGAGACAGGATCTCTCTAATTTCCCCAGGTGGGGCTCAAACTAGCAATCCTCTTGCCTTAGCCTCCTAAGTAGCTGAGGTTATGGGTGGTGTGTCAGCACGCCCAGCATACAGCACTTTTGATGAAAGCGTTTAAAGGCCACAGCAGCTTGGGGAAATGAATAACAGAATAAGGAATAAACAGACCAAAATTCCTGGGAAGAAAGAGAATAGAAAAGGACATGCATAGGAGAATGGGGGCTTTAAAAAACTCCCACATAAACCAGGTAATCAGGAAGACCACATGCAAGCCCAGGTCTGGACACACACTTTCACATCCGGCTCCACATGAGCAGGAAGTAAAGGCTGAGGCAAAGCTGTGAGCAGCCTGGCTAAGTCTTGAATCATTCTCAATGCAGAGACAATTTTCAAAGTCCAGGAAAGTACTCTTTTTCTTATTCCTGGATCCAGGCATTTGAAGAAACTGTCAGAACACTAGCTGATCACAGTGCTTGCAGAACACAGGCTTCAGTAGCTACACTACAAAGGTAACAGACTTTGTAATAGCCCAGCAAAGTCACTAAGAAAACAAACAACAAACTGGAGCAAACAGCAACAACAAACCTAGGGATGAGGAGGCTCTTACCTCCAGAGATGCCACATTGTAATACTCAAAGTGTCTAGCTTTCAACAAAAAGGCATGCAAAGAAAAAAACTATGGCTTCATTCACAGGGGAAAAATTAATAGAAATTATTCCTAAGGAAGCCCAACCATTGGATCTACTAGACGAAGACTTAACAATCTCAAATATGCTCAGAGATCAAAAGGTGGCCAGGAGAACAATGTCTCACCAAATAGAGAATAGTGGCAAAGAAAAGAAAAAAGAAATTATGAAAAGGAATGAAATAAAAATATGGAGCTAAAATACACAATAACTAAAAGGAAATTTTTACTGAGGAATGAAAAGATAAAAGAATGTGCAAAAATAAACAGAGCCTGAAAGACTGGGAAGAGAGTATCCGGCATACCAATTCACACATAATCAGAGTCCCAAAAAGGCAGGAGAGAAAAAGGTGTTACAAAAATACTTGATGAAAATATGATGAAAGACATGAATTTATACATTCAAGAAGCTCTACAAACTCCAAGCGAGATAAATTCAGAGAGGACAGATCCGCAGCCCTCCCTCCTTCCCTTCTCCATCCCTCCCTTCTTCAATTCTGAAAGACAAGGTCTTGCTATGTTGCCCAGGCTGGTCTCAAACTGTCGTCTAATCAGCTGTAAAACACAGTTAAAAATGATGACTGCTAACCCTTTTCTGCCACCCAAATCAGTTATTCTTCATAGCAGCTATTTTGTGGGGTTTTTGTTGTTTTGTGTTTTGAGACAGGGTCTTGCTGCATAGTTCAGGTTAGCCTTGAACTCACTATGTAGCCCTGGCTGGCCATGAACTCACCATATTCCTCCATCCTCAGCCTCCTAAGTGCTGGGATTACAGACACGCTCCATCAGGCCCATCTTGTTTTTTGAGTTTTATACCCCAGAATTCAGAGTTCTCTATATAACATTTGAATATTCCTGTTTCTAGTCTTATTTTTCATGGTTCTGTTATACTCTGAAAATTTTTAATTTACTATCCTTTTACATATTAATAATTCATTTAAATTTTATTCAACAAATAACAAAAGATTCAAAAAAAAGAGTACTTTTGCTGGTACCAGGCTGAGTAGGGAATTCTTTGAAAGAGAAAAAGAATCTACTTAATCTCTGTCTTCTCAGTATGTGCTTTTAAGACAAAATGAAAAAAAAATAAAATAAAAAATTTTAAAAAAAATTTTTTTAAAAAGACAAAATGAAGAAAAGTATGTTCATCAGAGAATATGCAAAGTATTCAAGAAAGTCAGGGCTGGCTTGAAAAGATTAAATAGTTGCATTTTGAGTAAGATAAAACTTGAGAAAAAACTGGATAGAGCAAGTGTACCTACTAGAGTGGTCTGTAATACTAGTAATGCAGTGCCTTTTAAAGGTGGATTTTAAATGTGTTTTTAAAATACAGTGTATCCTTGACTTATGAATTCAATTTGTTCCTTGGGGCTGGTTGTAACTCAAGCTGGTCAGTGGAGGCTCAGGTTCCTCTACACAGCCTTCAGAGTCTCTCTCCTGTACACAGGCAGATCGCAGTGTCCTTAGAGTGACAGTGGTCCAGGATTTCTCAATTAACCCCAATCAGGAAAGGATGTGTAATGTTCCTTCCAGAACTCTTTAAGGGTCAGCCAGGGATTTAGCTCAGTGGTTCCGCCACCTGCCTCGAAAGTGCAAGGACCAAAGTTCAAACCCCGGTACCAAAAAATCCAACCAAACAAAAAAAAACAGGGGCTGAGTCTGTATCTGAGACCATCTGGAACCACAAGTGGCTGGCATTTGGATCAAAACTCAAGACTTGGTCATAAGTGAAAAACTAAAATTCCAGTTGTAACCCAAGTTGTTCCTATGTCAGGCTGCTTAACTTGAGGGTCCACTGTACATTTAAAGTAGGTAGTAGTTGCCAGAGCTGGGCCAAGGGGAATGGGAAACTGACTACTAATAGGTTTGAGATTTCTTTTGGGGGCAATGAAAATGTTCTAGAATTACATAGCAATGGTTGTACAGCTCTTTGTATATACTAAAATCGGGTCGGGGATTTAGCTCAGTGGTTCTGCTGCCTGCCTCACAAGCACAAGGTCCTGAGTTCAATCCTAGGCACCAAAAAATAAAATAAAAGGATAAATTTATTATATGAAAACCATGTAAATATTTAATATAGATATTACATGTAAATATTATTTAATGTCATTGCTGACATTATATGATTGCTTGGGTTTTATGGTTAATTCATTTGCCAGTTAAGGTTTTGTCATTTGGCCTATCCTTCACAAATACATCCTCTCTCCTGTTGAGGGAGGAGAAAAGGAGAGGGCAGGGGCATGATCAGAGCTTGTTACATGTGTGTGCAAAGATGCTGTGTGTGTAAATGGGCTGCATGCACGTACAAATGTGCCAAAATGAAACCCTCTCGTCTATATAACTGATCTGCACCAATTTTTAAAAATACATCCCCTGCTCTAGAACATAGGATTGATCCTATAATATTTAATGAGCATTCACTATGCAAAATGCTGTACACACAGTATCTTACTTAATCTTTATAATAAGCCTTTGAGACAGGTGTTGTTTCTCCACTTTTAAGGAAAATGAAGCTTTGAGTAGTTCCCCCAGGTCACAGTAAGTGGTAGAGCCTAAATTTGAATTCTTTAGCTGACCCCAAAGGCTGTCAAGGCCAATCAATATGCATTGTGGAATTACATTTATTAACTATATCAAATGGCACAAGTTTCTATTGCCCTGGAAGGGGTAAAAATTGGAAACCAAAGAAGATTCCCAAATGTGAGCACCTGGAAACCTGTGAGGAAATCCCATCCACCGCCAGGCCCTCAGGGCAGATCTAACCCTAAGGCCAAGAGAGAAACTCAACCTTCTGTGGAGCAAGAGCAATGGCAGCCTCCGAGATGGTTAGGCTATGGCTTCAGTTTGACTACCCAACGCCAGTCACCCCACATTGTACGGTCTTCTGCCTTCTGGTGGATTTGAACAGATGCCGAGTTGTCACGGATCTCATTAGTTTCATCCACCAGTGCTTTTGGCTTCAGTTCTGGGGCCCTCCTAGGCCTCTACCTGGATGGGGGGCTGTTGCCTCCCACTGAGAGCGCGCGCCTGGTGAGGGACAACGACTGCCTCAGAGTCAAGTTAGAAGAGAGTGCAGTTCCTGAGCTTTCTGTCCTAGTCAGCAATGGTGGCAACACTCATTTCTCACCTGTAAAACCAAGAAGCGGCCTTCTAAATTGGAGGAAGATGAAGAAACCAAACTAGGTTGCATATTCTCAAAGAAGCACTGGAAGAGGCAAGAGAACAGCAGCAATCACGAGAAGGCCTCGGATCTGGACCCAAAAGCTGTCTTGGGCCAGCCTGTGAGGAAAAAAAGCAAGCGAAAAAACAATGCAGCTTGTGACAGGATGGATGCTGATGACAGAGAGACCAGAAGGAAGTCACCGAAGGAGAAACGTGAGTATAAGAAACAGACCAAGAATCGCAGGTCTCCGAAAGCACAGGCAGTAAAAGAACGGAGCATCCTGAACTGTAGTCCCCCCAAAGGCTCTGCCAGATACGGCATTGGCAAAGCCAAAAGGAAAGTCGGGAGAGGAGTGTGTGCAAAGCACAGTCCCACGTCCTCCTCAGAGTCAGAGTCTTCTCATGAATTGAGCAGCGATCATCTTGGCAAGCCCACGCCGGAGGCTGGGAATTCCTGGGAGAAACTGTCCGCGAGTTACCAAAGGACGGGCCCTCTACGAAACACACAGCTGCAAACAAACCATGCTCAAGAGCCACCTTGAACCTTGTCCCTGGCAAGGGCAAGACCACCAGGGCCTCATCCTCATCTAGTTCAGATTGCAGTTTGGATTTAGGTGATGAAAATGTGGCATCCAAGCACTCACCGGAGCATGGGGTCAGCTTCTTAAAGACAGCCGGCCTCTTCACAGGAAGGGGTTGTCCGGGGCCCAGGCCCTCGCCTCAGACTCTGAACACCACAGGATGGAAGCCTTCCAAGTCGAGTGACGGCAGACAGGCTCCTGTTCCTCTGCCCAGTATGTCTGTCCCCACCAGCTTTGGCAGAGGATGGGGACAAGGAGAGGACCTTCTTTCTTGGAAGGGGGTGAGGGGTCGGGGCATGCGGGGCAGAGGTCGAGGACGAGGGCACGCTCTGTCCTGTGTCTTAAATAAAAACCCTGAATGTCAGAAGCAACAGCAGCTAAGCGAGACCGTGACAAACACATCCACTATCATCCAGAATCCAGTAGAGCTACCCAAGGACTACAGTCTGTTACCACTGTTAGCAGCTGCCCCGAAAGTTGGAGAAAAGATTGCATTTAAGCTTTTGGAACTAACATCTGATTATTCTCCTGATTTCTCTGACTACAAGGAAGGAAAACTATTAAGCCACAATCCAGAGACCCAGCAAGTAGATATAGAAATCCTGCCATCCTTACCTGCTGTGAAGGAACCTGGGAAATGTGACTTGGTTTATCACAGTGAAAATGGAACCGAGGTGGTACAGTATGCTGTGACGCAGGAGAGGAGGATCACTGTTTTCTGGAGAGAGTTGATTGATCCAAGACTGATTATTGAACCTCCAAGTAACACCTCCAGTACGGAGCTTATCAGAGCATGACCTCCACCCCAAGGCTTATAAACGTCTTCCTGTGAAAGTGACTGCAGTGTGAGGTTTTTTATTTTTAAGAGGATTTAGAAGTTGTGTGTATTATTTGTTATCTTCATTTTACTGTATAGGGAAAAAAATCTACCTCATCATTTAAAATTGGGTATTGGTTTGTAGACCATTTTTTCCTTCAGATTAACTTCAGTTAACAAAATTTAAAACATAACATTTCCTGCAGGCATTGTTTTATGTTTGGTTTCTTTGTTTTTTTGACCATTGAAGTATCGGTCATCAGCTTACAATACTAAGTACAAGAACAGGCTGCATATCTTGTCTCAATAAATTTTATCAAGTAACATTTTTAAAAAATTAAAACATGTTGCTTCACCTAATTTTTTAACATTTGAGTTGTTCCATTAAATGTGGAACATCTTATAAATTTCAAGTTTTTTATACTTGCACTTGCGAAGAATTAACAAGCAGTTGAGTTTGTTGCCAGCAATGAGTTAAGGAATCCTTTCATGTTTTTCTCAATTTAAAAATTAAGGATTCTCAGGGACCTGTGTGGAACAGTGAAAACAGTACCCTGTGTGTGTTGGAAGGAGAGTGGGCAGTGCACCCAGGCGAGAGGATTCGCCGTGCGCCCCGGAGCAGGGAGTGGGTTATCTTGAGCCAAGAGCCTGGCTCAGTGTGCTGGAGTGAGGATTTGGAAGAGAAATTGCCTCTTCTGATACTCAGAGACCAAAATGGCTAAATATATGATGTGAAAATTGCTTTCTTTTAACAAAAGATCAGATCCCTCCTTCAGCTTTGCAGATTTCTAAATAAAGTCATATTGAACTTAAAAAAAGAGAGAGAGAGAAACTCAAGTTGGGGATCGACTGCACCTCTATAGATACTCTATAAATGGCAGGAATCGCCTAGAAGTCACCTCCTCTCCTTCCACACACTACACACCTTCTTGGAGAATTAGAAAGGGCCAAGGAATAAGACTGGATTGTTCTTGGAGACTTGCCAAAGAAAAGCATTTTTCTGAGTTTTTTTTTCATGAGAAGGTTCAGACTGTGAATTATTGATTTCTTGGAGCTCTTATTGAGAGGGATCTTAAGAGATTTCACTACTTTCCAGCCTCTAACATTCGCATTAATGGGATAGTGGAACACGCCTGTAATCCCAGCTCTCTGCCAGGCTAAGGGAGGGGGACGAAAATTCAAGCCCAGCCTGGGCATTTTACCAATTCACAAGATCCAGAGAATCTGTGATCCTCCCGCCTCAGCCCAGCCCTTTTGTTTTATTTTGAAACAAGTTCTCATTAAATTGCCCAGGCTGGCCTCAAACTTGCAGTCTTCCTGCTTCGGCCTTCTGAGTAGCTGGGGTTACAGGTGTGTGCCACCATGCCCAGTTTAGAGGGTAAAATTTAGTGTAGTTACGTTTTCCTCAGAAAGTTGCGGTGGATTTCATTACTTTCTTAACACCCTCTCTAATCTAAATTCTCAGTTATCCCAAGGCTTGGTATAGGAACCACAAATTGTCACAAATTAGATATTTCCCTGAATTTCCTTTCATGAGCCAAAAATCCACACCCCGTTTCCATTCCCAGAGAACCTGCCGCGTTGGAAAGGGGCAACTCACCGCCATGAAGCTCGGTCATCCGGCCACCAGGGGGCAGAGCAGGCCGCTTGGATCAGCTCAGCAGGCTCAGGGCGGCTTCGGGCCGCGAGCGGGCCGGTTCGCTCATTAGCACGGGGCTCAGCGCCCATGGAGGAGGAGGAGGAACCGTGCAGGAGCTAAAGAGACGACAAGGCCGCGTCCGGTCTGGACAGGTTCCGTGACAGTTGGGCAGTTGATTTGATCATCATTTGCTTGAGAGAGGGAGAAGCCTGCAGTTACACACGCACACGCACACACTTCATTACATTGAGGTGAGCGTCCTGCATTGGTCTGAGCTATTTTTTTTAACTAATTCTGATATTCTGTGTAGATAAAGATCATTTATTTCTGTGTAAACTATTGCTTCAACAACTACAAAGCAACAATAAATTTTTAATAATTTATGACGATCTGTGACTATTTCCATGTTAAGGTAAGTATTATTTTTGGATTTGATTCTGTAATTATTTGCTTTCCATTCATAATATCTGTTTCTGATTTCTCTGGTTTTCATTTCTGCCTTTGTATTGTGTGAGTCGTTTTTGGTGTTTCATTTTAATTTTGGTACTGTCTTTTTGTAAATATTTTTATGGCAGCCCCAGGTACAGCTTTCCAATCTTAACTTCTACACATCAGCCCATACCTTCAAAACTTAAATATAGGCAAGTTAATAACTGTAATACACATTTATTTACATGCTCAGGAGAAAATATCTTATGAGCTTTTTTAGGAAAGGGTTTTGTGAGTGAGTCAACAGGAAAATATTCAGAGTTTAGGAATGGGAAACTCAAGGAATACATGAGTGATAAATATATAAACATATACTCAACCTGAGTGGTCATTAGGGAAATGTCAACTAAACCATCGCATTATATCATTCAGTATTCTGAAGGCTAGTGGTCTGAAACTGTTATACATAATATTGGTGAAGATCTGGAGAAATAAGGGATTTTATGAACTTGTGGTGAGTGTAAATTCTTACACAATTTCGGGGGTGACTGAATGAGATTCCTCATGCTACCCCTCAGCAAGATGTCTACTCTGGCACATGCATCCCCAAAGGGCACATACTGTGTGCAGCAGCGCTGTTTGCCTCGGTGTAAGACAGCAAAACAATGCAGCCATGTGTTCATGCACTGGAATCCTCCAGTGTAGTTAAAATGAACAAGATTGTATCCACATTGAGAAGTCACACCCCCTATTTCACTGAGTAAAACAAGCAACTTGCAGGATACACACAGGATGCCAAGTATAAATAGTTATGTGAACTAAGCCTTTGTGTAAGAATGTTTGCCAGGCATGGTGCTGAACACCTGTAATCCCAACACTTGAGTGGCTGAGGCAGGAGGATTGCCATGAGTTCAAAGGCAGCCTGGACTGCATAGCAGGACCCGGTCTCAAGAAGCAAAACAACAACAAAATCAAGAATGTTTGCCTATGTAATAGAGTCTAAATGGAACTACAGGAATAAAGAACACTAAATTCAGGTTTGTGTTAACCTCAGTGTGAGTCTAGAGTGTGGATCGGAGAGGCCAACTGCAGGGCCCTGATCATGTCTTGAAGGTGGAAAGTCAGTCTTGCTGTTCATGATCTCCTCAGAAACAAATTTGAATATTTGAAATATTTAGTGATAACAGCCATGCGCATATCTGCCTCTGTATACGAAGAAACACCAGATCATAGGGGCATTCATACTAATAGAATTTGGGGTGATTATTAATTTCCTAATTTGTACCTGCATTTTTTGAATTTTCTTCTAGAGTGTGCGTTATTGTCTGAAACCGTGTTACACAAGTGCTTTCAAATTCAGTGAATGTTTTATTACGACAGACATGGTAAGAGACAGTAACCACAGCATCCAGGCAAAGCCCTACCTGGTTGTGTCAAATAGATTCTTTTCTCCAACCCTTCCCGCAGCCCCTGGGTCTCAGCAATCGCTGATGGGCGTTGGAACCTGCTGGCCTCTAACGCCGTGGAGAACATTTTATCGGTGGTTATGCAGCCTGAAGACCATATGGACTTGGGAAGACCTTGTATAGGGGTGTCGCTCTCTGCTTCTCCCCTGGGTTCCCCTGCTCAGAAGGCTCAGCCCGCATCCGTCCAGAAGAGGGCGGAGGTGAGTCCTTCAATTACAGTGCCATTCTCTGTTCTCTGGTGTAGAAGACGGAAGTGGCCCGAGGGGCTTAGGGGTCAAGCCTGTACAGCTCTTTATCGTGACCTTCGAACTTTGCAAGGGGCCACAAAATGTGGTAGCGTGAAATCTTACAGGAGACATAACTGACCCTCACCTTGTAAGACCGAGGGCCTTACCAAACGCTCCGAGGAGCTGACTGCAGCGACGAACACCCGGGAAGGAACACACCGGACAAGTTGGAAAATAAAACAGACCTTTATTAGTCTGGCCAGACGGCACTCCCAAAGCAAAGTAGCTAAGAGAGGCAACTGGCTCAGAGTACGAGGCTGTTTTATAGGGGGTTGAGGGGGAGGTTAACATGTAGATTTACGGGAAAAAAAGGAACAAAGGTTAGTGGTCGACTGTCACGTACTGATGGTCAGCAGACATACTAATGGTCACGACCGTCACGTACTGATGGTTAGCAGACACACTGATGGATTGTTCTACAGGTAGTGGGCCCGGGAACATTCGTTCTCCGGACAAACAAGGGGTTGAGCAATTTTACTTAGGAACTCTGTTTCGTTACAGATTCTATTATCCCAGAACTAACAAGCACATTTTAACCATTAATTTACAAGTACAGTAGAGGCTAGGGGAATAATTGATTTTGGAATCATGCAGTCCCACAACCTGTCGGCGGGAACCCAGGGAGGTGGCCTCTACAGGGCACCAGTGCCGCCCCAGTGTACCCAGACTTCCTCCCCTGGAGAAGCCAAGCTACCCTGGCGGGGCTTCCGGCCTCCCAGGAGCCGAGGCCCTCCCTCCGCCCACGGCTGTAGGCCGGCCCAAGGCGCCGTCAGGGCCCAGCCCTTCTCTTCTGCCGCACAGCGGAGCCAAGAGAGGGGTCTCAGAGGGCCCCTCATCTTTGCACCCTCCAAGCCCCAGCGTCAGCCTCTGCCCCATCCTGGAGAGCTCCCAACTGCCCTCCACCCTCTGTGGCACCTCTGAGGAAAAGCTAAGGATTTCGGAGGGAGAGGAGGGGAGGGAAGCAAGCTGTACCAATTCCACAAAATAAAAGTAACTGTGCATGACAAAAATATGCTGATTTTTTTTAAAAAGAAAAGGATTCCAGATGAGACAAGGCAGTGTGCTGATTCAGGTTTGCTACCACACCCAGAGAGAAACTGTCCTAGTGAAGTAACCATCACTGAGACAGGACTCACCAAAACGAAAGCACAGGGGCGGAAATTCTAGAACTAAAGTGCTTGCCCTCAGGGGAATGAATAGCAGCATTAGAAACCCATTAGCTGTGAAGAGGCGAGAGAAATCCCCCGGGGAGAAGAGGTCCCTCATTATAGACGTAGCACATGAATCCCCTTGTTAAAAATAGGCTTTTCATGAAAAAGAAAAATTTATTCTAGTGAACAGGGACTAAAAATCAGGAGATTCTAGCAGCTAGCTGGGAAGAGCCATTTATTACATCTGTGTGTGGATGGGCTAACATTGGGAGAAAAATAGCTGCAACTAGCTGAGAGAGATTTCATCCGTGAGTGGAGGAGAGAGATATTAGCAACTAACTGGGAAAGGAATTAGGCTTCTATAGGTATTGAAGGGGCTAAGGAATCTGGGGTGACAAGTTTGTGATTGAGTCCAAGGACAGTCAGCATAGCTGTGTGCACAATCACTGGACTTTTTGGCACCAGGGGGATTGTATACTTTGTTTTGAGTGTATTTGTCCTATTACGGAGAAGCTGCTGTTTGCTGAAAGCAGCCTGTTTGCTTTGTCCCTTTTGTTTAGTCCAGGCCTGACCCCTCCCCCCACCCCCCAGGGAGGCCTTTCCAAATACACCAACCTCGTCTTGCCTGGCAGAGGGAAGAGCCCTGGAGGGACAGCATTCGTTAGCCAGTCAGCTCCAGGCAGCCACGGAAAGCTACAGAAACTCCGAACAAAAGCCCCTGGGCCTGTGGTTGGTTCCTCATAACAGACACGTGCAGGAGGGCTGGGGAGAAAGGAGGGAGAACACAGAGACCTGAACCACAGCCATCTCCACGAGCAGTGCGCTAGCCGGGTCCAGCAGGGGTTCCCTGGCGACACAAAGGGGTGAGGAGAAGCCTGTTTAAATGCAAGGGCCGAGGACTTCTGGTTGTGACTGCTTGAAGCTACCCCTGAGCCCTGAGGGAAATCTAAAGACACTGAGAACTGAGAACGAATCACAGCGTTGAGACTTGACAGCCACTGGTCCTGAGAAGAATAAGCCATGGCCATCATAGAGGAGGGCAGAGAGGCCCAGGGAAGCCCCAGGGAACCCTACATGTCACAGTAAGCAAAGTCATTTTATTTTTTAGACAGGATCTCACTGTGTAGCCCGTGCTGGTTTCGAACTCATGGCAATCCTCCTGCCTCAGCCTCCCAAAGTGCTGGGACTACAGGCATAGTCCACCACGCCCAGAGCAAAGTCAATTCTTAATAGCCATGGGCTGTTTGCTGTGTCCTAACCTCTTTCTTGGGATGCCATCCCCCAACCTTGTCACATGATCGGAGGGGAGGGAACTTCCAAAATTTGCTTCTGTACTGCAGTTCTGACTTGTCTGTTTGAAGATGAGATCTTGGCTCCTCGATGCCCCATCCCCTGAAGGGGAGAGATTTACTAACCCAGACAGAGGCCACAATGCAAGGCAAACCAGGACTGACCTCCATTGAACCCTGATGTCTAGGGTAACGGAGTTCCAGGCCAAGCTAAAACAGCTCAACCGGTTATTATGCAGCTACAAATCCCCAGTCGTCCAAATCATGGCAGTGCCCAATAAAAAGGCTGGACTGGGACTGCAGCCCATCAGCGATGAGTTCACAGATTTGGCCTTTTGGTCCCTGCTGGTCCTGTGCAGTGTGCAGATGCTTAGTCATAACCCTCAGCAGCTAGAGGCGGCTCAGGACTCCGTCTCAGCCCTGAGGCAGTGGTCCCAGTCCACCCTGGGAGCCTCTTGTTCCATGCTTCCATCTCCGCCTGAGCAGCTGTGGGGGCCTCTGGCTGTCCTGCCCCTGATCCTGCAAGCCCAATAAATCCCCTTGCATGACTGTGCCGATACCTTCCACACATGACGAGAAAAGGTCTGCAGGATGGTGTGGTCTTTAGGTCACACGTGGTTGAATCTGTGGGTGCGGAACCCGTGGATGCTGAGGGCAGCCTACGGTTAGAAGCATTGTGGGCTTTGGAGGTCAGACATTCCTTCTCCCCCTGCACCCCACCCCTGCTCCCCCATGGCTCAGCAGCCTCCCACCTGTGCTTCGTGCCACTCCTGGACTCACCTCCTTCAGCGGGAAGAATTGGTCCAGAAAGTGGTGCCAAGTTTGGTTAGCAGCTTATTCCAAGGGTTCCCTGGAAATCCTGTTTCCTCTGGCACCTACTCTTTCTGGATCCCAGCCCAGCAGCCCACATCACAAACAGATCTACACACAGCATGAGGCAGTTTGGATTCGTCATTGCTCGGGTCCCTGCTGCAGGACACCGTGACTACCTACGTCTTAAAGGTTTGCAGATTACTGGCCAGGGAGCAGGGTGTGCAGAACAAGATTATCTGGCTCTTATATTTTTATTAAAGGTCAGACTTCTAGAAAGCACTGTAAAATGACACTTGTTTTTATTAGCGCAAATCTTGCCACTTGACAGAATGTGGGTCCCACAGATAGAAGGCACATTCAATACACAACCACAACAGGAAACAAATTCAAAGATTTTAACTTATAGACCCCAGGCAAGGCGGAGAGCAGTCCTCTGTCACTGGTCTTGAGAGACAGAATAAAGAGCCCCAAAAGGGAGACCACAAGGCAACCTGTGGTGTGTGGGAGGGAATTGGGTGTGGGTCGCTTTGAGTGTCAACAAATCTCAGAGTTCTTAATCACCAGCCAAGAGCTTCAGTTGATTAAGTGTGGTGTAGACAGTCACCACCCAAGGAGAACTGAGACCTGATTCAGGTAGGGTGCAGTTAAACTCATATTTAAAATGGATGTTAAAGTGTTAGCAACTGTTATAGTTTAGTCTCATGTGTTGGAAGGGGAGACCTGGTCAGAAGTAGCAGGTCACTGGGACATGACCTGGAAGGGTATACTCTTTTTTTTTTTTTTTTTTTTTCTCTGGTACCGGGGATCGAACTCAGGTCCTTGCGCTTGCGCAGCAGGCGGCGAAACCACTGAGCTAAATCCCCGGCCCAGAAGGGTATACTCTTGTCCCTAGCTCCCCCTTCTCTCTCTTCTTCCTAGCCACCTTGAAGTTGAAGTGAACAGCTTTCTTCCACCAGGCCCTTTCACCATGTAGTTTCTGCTTGGAGTCAGCAGACCATGGATTGAACCCTCTGAAACTATGAGCCAAATAAACCTGGGATTAAGACAGGGACTGCATGGATTCTAGTGTTTTCTGTCAGAAGAGTCATACAGGAGCAGTTAGCAAAGAAATAAGGTTTTGTTCTTATGCTTGAGCAAAAGGGGCACGGGAAACCAGGCTGACCCAAACAAAAAACAGAACCATGGTGTACAGCTTTTGTGGCATCAAAGGGGCAGGCAGGACAGGACTTCATCATGCCTCTTCAGGAGATGCAGGTGTCATTACTATCTTTTTTTTTTTTTAATAGGATCTCACTATGTAATTCAGGCTGGCCTCAACTCACAGCAATCCTCCTGTCTCAATCTCTTGAGTGCTAGGATTATAGGCGTGTGCCACCACACCCAGCTCATTACCATTTTAAATCTCTACCTAGGTGTGATCTTTACACTGCTAATAAGGTAAAAGTAACTATAGGCTACTTCAGTGACTATTCCACACATACATTTATCCCTTGCCACCTGGAATGTGGGAAAGTTCCTAACTGGGATTTGGAGCTGGGTGGATCACTACCTGGCTCCGTGGGTTTGATCTGAAGGATCTCTTTTGCTTGGCCCTGCTTCTTGGTAGCTCTGTGGACCACATGGGCTTTGAAAGCTGAGCTGACTTCTCATCCTTCTGTCCTCAAGTGTTCCCTAAATTTCACACCCTTGAAAACTAGGCCACTCTTTTAACCCCCAAATTCCTACTGTTTATTTCTGCATAAGACTGAGAGCTCACCTAGCTGTTGTAAGAAATGAAATTATTGGGTGCCCCGGGTGTGGAGGCTGCTCTGAACCTGTGTGGAGGGAAGAATGCACTTGCCTCCTGCTGACGACCCAGGTTTAACTACATACGGGTGCGTGCAACAGCCATCACCTGTGAAGTTAGGATTTCCAGGCACTCAGTGCCGTGCTGCATGGTGGACATCCATCCAACCATTGAAAGTGCCAGCCACGGGGAAGGGGACTCTAAGTCAGATAGGGAGAGCAGGCACTGTCTATGAGCCGTGGTGCTCAGGGCTTCTCCTGGCACGAATGACAGTTTTGCCACAACCACCTGCCTTTGTTCCTCCCAGGAAAGATGCATAGGAATCCCAATGGAGCCTTTCTCAGATGGGGTGGATTTGCGGGTGGGAAGCAGTCGGACATGCATTCATGTTCATGAAGGAGGAACTGTTCGGGTGGGACTGCCAGTAGCTTTGGTGGCTGGTGGCTGACAGCTGGGTCCTTTTCCAAACACTGGCCTGGGCATCGGGTTACCAAAGCCTGGCTGGTGGGAGGGGACCAGGCTGCCACTATCCCCGCACCCAGCTACCTCCGATGGGCCGTGCTGCCCTGCCCAGAAGCAGTATCGGCTCCCTCCCTTCACTCCTCCTGTCCTACATCCTACATCCCTCCCAAGCCACACTCCCAAAAACAGCTGTTAGAACATTGCTGCCTCAGAGTCTTCCTCAGAGGACTTTACCTGAGAAATCTAAAAATACTGTTTTATAATATTGCACTGCCTTATAATTAAACAATGACATTTCCATGGGTCTTCACTAAGATATGCAAATAATTCCAGGAATACTTTTTTTTCTTGGTACCGGGGATCGAACTCAGGTCCTTGCGCTTGCACAGCAGGCAGCAAAACCACTGAGCTAAATCCCTGGCCCCAGGAATACATTTTAGATACACCAGAAACACAAGGAGAATTTTGAAGAGAATTTAGCTATTTTATCTTTGAAACAATTCAACAATTATCTTCTGTTGTATGCAATGATATAATAGGTATAATGAGGAAGCTGTTTCCTCTGCAAGCTATTTCCACACCGACTACATTTTGCTCTATATTTATTAACTGAAAATTATATGCAATGAACTGTATTATACATGTGGGTGAAAATATGTCTTGATAATTAGTGGGTTTTGTTCATTTTGCTTCCTGAAGGATCATGTATCCCAGCTTGGAATCTCAGACCTGAAAGAACTATGCTTGTTAGGCGCCTTTCCAAACTGACTGTAATTTATGGATGAGCCAAAGGAATTCCTAGCCTGCTTGAGCCCCTTATGTTTCACACAGCTTCGTTCACCTCCATGTTTTCTTTGGGTCTCTCTATCTAGTCCAGGCTGGCTTTCAACTCACTATGTAGCTCAGGCTGGCTTCAACCTGGCAATGAGCCTCCTCCTCAGCCTTCCGAGTGCTGGGATTACAGGCATGTGCTACCATGCCCAGCCTCCACCTCATTTTTTTTTTTCCAGATTTTTGAGACAGGCTCTCACTGTGTAGCCCAGGCTGGCCTCCAGTCTTGGCCTCCAGTCTCATAAAGATCCTCCTGCCTCAGCCTCAGGTGCTAGGATTAGAGGCATGGTGTACCACAAACGCCTGGCAGTTCGCCTCATTTTAATTCAAAAACCTTCTTTCCCCCCCTTGAACTGAAGAGTTCCCGCTGGGTCCCACCTCTTGACATTTCTGCCTTCTCCTGATAGCACCAGCAGACTCTTGTAACCTCTTGTCCCAGAAGCCTCCTCTGTGACTCATCCTCTTCCAGTAGGTGCTGTGCCCTGGCCCTGGCACAGTAGTTCTCAGCAGAGGTCCTAACAGAAGCCATCCACTGGGCATCTTCATCACTCCTGTGACACCAGGAGCTCCGGTTGAGGCCCGCAGGCCCGCACTTGTGCCCTCTAGCCCAGCGCCAGCACCATGGTGGGCACAGCCAACGCCAAGAGCGTGGCCAGCATCACTGGGCCTCTTCTGACTTGAGAGTCCCCGAGCGACCGTGGACCGAGTCACAGGGGACTGTCATAAATGCTTCCACCTCATTGCTTTCTTGGGTTCTGGAGCAGACTCTTTGGTAAATTGAGATTTTTTTAATGAATAAACAAACTCATGCAAAAAGAACCTATATCCATATAAATCTGAATATTTTGCACCTTTTCTGTAGGTTTCTAAAGATTTATATTTGTGAGAATGTATCTGAGCTATTGATCGTCAACCCAGGAGAGGAAAACACATGCTAAGATACTGACCTGAAATTCCGAGAGGCTCACAAAGATAGAATAGAATAAAAAGAGAGAGGAGCCCTTCTGAGCAGTGGCTCCAACTATAAGCAAAAGCTTTACAGCTGACCTTCTCCCTGATGAAGCCCTGGTTGTTATGGTAATGGAAAGGCGCTAAGTCCTTTGAGATTTATAAAGTAATAAAATAAGGTTATATTCTAATTTATACAAAAATAATTAAACTGTATAAAGTGAATCTAGAGAAATGAAAGAATTCCTATGTTACTGTGAAAGAGATTCCCAAGATTCAATAACGTGTTATTAGCCAGGTGTGGTGGTCCAGGCCTGTAATCCAACCACTCAGGAGGCTGAGGCAGGAGGATCACCTGAGTTGCAGGCCAGCCTGAACCACAAAGCAAGAGCCTCTTTCAAAAAACCCAACCCCCCCCCAAAGAATAAAGTGTCATTAAGGTGTAGCATTGGGCCAGGGATTAAGCTCAGTGGTGCCATGCCTGCCCGGCAAGCACAAGGTCCTGATTTCGATTCCCTGGTACCGGAAAAAAAAAAAAAGATGTAGTATTAATAGTGTGTTGTAAAGTATTCCAGTGCAGGAACGTGCAGGAATCACCTATCTCTTTATTCAATGTTGTCCTCACCTAATTGGGAATCAACTATTTAAAGTTAGAAAAATATAGTAACTTTTACACCAACAACCCAGCACCAAACTTCAGAACCAATATAGCTATCTCCTGTGTACAGGCAGACCTTCTTACCCCATGACCTACTACAGCCATCCGGACAGAAATTCATAGAATAGGGGGCTGGGGATGTAGCTCAGTGGCACTGTGCCTGCCTGGCAAGTGCCTGGCAAGTGCAATGTCCTGAGTTCAATCCCTGGTACCGCAAAAAAGGAGAAAGAAATTCATAGAATAGAAATGAACACTTCGGCCGCATGAAAATATACACTTCAGTAGCTGGTAAAACCTCCAAGCAACATTACAGCCATATTCATCTCTGATGTCCAACACAGCGTGGGCTGAAGCTGAGCCCTTAGGCCGCGATGAGCGATGAACCCGGGAAGGGAGGGAGGAAGGAGCCGGACGGAAAGGGTGTGTGCAGGGAGCGGAGAGGACCGGGACTCTTGCGGTTGATGAACCCGGGCCGGGTCTCCCCAAATCGTCCAGGCTGTCTGTCCAGCGTGTGCTTCTTCCAGCGTCCGTGGTGACTTTCCTACGTCGCCATAGTTTTTTTCCTAGTCTCTTTTTTGCTGATACAAAACTTACAGACGTGAAGAGCACAGTTCTAGTTTAGTTTAGTTTTTAGTGTACAAATTGATGAGTTTTGCTGAGCGTACAGTAGCGTGTAATTGTCATGCAATCTAGACAGGGACCTGCGCTGGGCGTGGTGGTGGCTCATGCCTGTGATCCCAGCACTCATGGAGGCTGAAGCAGGACGATCGAAAGTTCCTGCCCAGCCTGAACAACTGGGCAATTTAGCAAGACGCTGTCTCATGATAAAAAAAAAAAGAAAGAGCTGGGGATGTAGCTCAGTGTGAAAGCCCTCGGTTTGACTCCCAGTACCAAAACCAAAAAACGAACCAATAACCCGATTTCCAGGATTAAACAAGGACATCCCTACAAACTGAGGCAGCTGAACCTGGGCGGCTCCCCGGCAGCGGGGATGGGGTGGGGGTGGGGTCTCTGTCCTCCCTCGGGACTGGCGGGCCTGGGACCTCGAGGCCGCCGCATAATCCTTCCAGGCTACCGAGAGGTCGGGCCGGCCGCCCAGGAGCCCCGCCCTTTTCCCCGCCCCCGGCTCCTCCCGCCTTGAGGTACCGCCTCTTTCCCCCAGCTCAACCAGCTCTAGAACCGTCCCTCCTCCTGTCAATCAATTCAAACGTCGCGTGTAACGAACCAATCGCAAGCCTGGCCGAAAGGAAGAGGCGGGCGCTTTTCCCGGAAGTGCTGGGAAACCCCTCCAATCAGAGGCTCCGTGCGGGAAGTTTGAATTTTGCTCGGGCTCGGGTGGTAGGCATTCCCGCGTCGGAGGCAAAGGAAGCCGTCCAGACCCGCAGGACTTTCTTATTTTTACTTTGGCTGAGCTTTCTCGCGAGAGGTGCTTCAGGTAGGTGGGATGGGGGCCCGTTCCGGAGAAGGCCTGAGGCGGGGGCTGTCGCCGTGTCACCCGCCCTCCCGGGGACGAGGGCGGATCCTCCAGGAGACGACGTGCTGTTGCTTCGATCTGATCCGATGCAGTCGCGTCTCCCCGCCGGGGCGCGGGCTTAGCATCCCTGGCCCCGACTCTTCCCAGATGCTGTGACCGCTGAGACCGCCCGCGTTGGGGACCTCTGGGTAAACAAGACTAAGGCACTCTTCGGGTGGACGAAACTCGGGGAGCCACGGAAAGCCTGGCGGGGTTGCAATCAAGGATGCCTTTAAAGCTATCGCGCCGGGTGTTTTAAGATGACCGAACACACGTTTTAGCTTTTCTTTGTATTTAGCAAATTAGCGACGGGCGTGGTGGTGCGCGTCTGTAACCCCAGTAATCGAGAGGCGGAGGCAGGAGTATCACTGAGGGAGTGAGTTCGAGGCCAGCCTGGGCTATCTAGCGAGGCACTGTCTCCAAAAAACCCAACCAAAACAAAAATTTAGCAAATTAATACTTGTAGGCGATAACAAATCACATGATAGAGTTTTTTGCAAAAAGCGTAGCTCATTGTCATTTCCTCTGGGCTCTTTAAGGAGGATGTTATTGGCATCCAGGTCAGATGGGTGCTCGCTTTTTATACGCTGCTAATACCTTAAAGTTACTGTGTGTTTTGGTTCTTTCTTTCTTTCTTTTGGTCATCAAACTCAGGACCTTGTGCTTCGAAGGCAGGCGGTGGAACAAATGAGCTAAAAATCCCCGGCCCCTTAAAGTTACCGCATGTAACCTTTAGTTTATTACATTTTTGTGCGGATTCATTTATCTACAGTTTTCTGGGGGACTTTCGTAGTTACTCTTTTTGAAGAGCATAGTGTGCCTGTGACGTTGTAAAATATCTGTTGGGCTCTGTCCCCGTTTCTTGGCTTGCAACTCCTAAGATCCATGGGCTCAAAGTGATGTCGTTATAAACAGGCTAATGAATTGTCCGCTGAAACGGTCGTTTCAGGTTGATGGTTGGGCACAGGAGAGACTACAGCGAGATTAGAGGGTCTTCAGCCCCAGCCCCACCTCCGGAGAGGGGAGAGTCCTGCCTGTGATGAGGCCTCCATAGAAACCTGGAAGGTTAAGGTTTTGAGGGCTTACTAAGAGAAACACGGAATTTCAGAGAGGTGAGCCCGAAGAGGGGCTGGGAGCTCTGTGCTCCTTCCCGGGAGCCTCGTCCTGTGCCTCTCTTCACCTGAGTCCCTTAGGATAAGCCCACAGGTGTGAGTGCGCAGGTCTCTGAGCTCTCTGAGCTGCTCCACCCAATCGGTGTGACCTCGGCAGGGCGGCGAGGGAGCCCTGGACCACGGCTGCTAGCTCAGGTCGGGTAGAACAATCTGCAGCAGTCTCGTGGGGCTAAGCCCTTCACCTATGGGGTCCGGCCCTGCCTCTGGGTGGGCAGAATCAGAATGGGTCGAGGTAGACACTCAGCTGACATCCTCCGCAAGGTTGAATGCTTGCTTGACGGATGTGAGTGTAATGGTAGAAACTGAGTCTGCTTATCCCTGTATTCTCGGAGTACTTACACCTTTTCCAGCCTCCTCATCAGCCGCCCTCTCTCCCGGCCTCAGGTTTTTATTCTGGAGAACCATTCTTTTTTCAGTAGTTTAGTTTGGTAGATCTGCTACCAGCCGCATAGGTAACCCTCTCAGACTGTCCACTTCTTCTTATCCGACTCAGTTGGGTGCATGATTAGAACGCGTGACATAGTCTTTACTGCCCTTCTTGTTTTGTTTGAATACATTCTCAAAGGTGGTTTTGTTTTGCCATACTGGGAATTGAATCCAGAGCCTTTTGCATGCTAGGCAAGTGCTGTACCACTGACTACACTCCCAGGCTGGCTTTGAACTTATGATCCTCTTGCCTCAGCCCCCTGAGTATCGAGGATTACAAGCATGCTCCACCACACCCCAGCTTTTAAGTGGGGATACACTAAGTAAGCTATGTGATTTCTTTCTTTCTTTCTTTGGTACCAGGAATTGAACTCAGGGCCTTGAGCTTGCCAGGCAGGTGCTGCACCACTGAGCTACATCCCCTTCCCAATTATGTGATTTCTTGCATGGACAAAAATAATGGGGCAAACTGATCACCATAGTAATTGTTCCTGAAAACCCTTTTGGTTGGTCTTAAATATCCAACTGGCTATATATGACATATTGGGTTTTTTTGCTTTTTGTGTTTTTGTTTGTTTGGGAGTTTGCTTTGGTATTTTGAGACAGAGTCTCACTATATAGCCTAGTCTGGCCTTGAATGTGCGGCAGTCCCCCTGCCTCAGCCCCCTGAGTGCTGGGATGATAGGGTGCACCACCATGCCTGTGTGTTTTTGTTTTTTGAATTGAGAAGAAATGCTAGGCCTCCTGTGTTCATCACCAGATGAAGGAAGCTATTCTGTTTACAGCTTAGTTCCCCTATTTTCACCTTCACTTACATTCTTTCCAGTATTCTCCATGGCCTCTTGCCTATATTCCAGACTAGAGTTTTCCTGGGTTCCACTTTATCTGTCAGGCAAGTATCCATTTAGAATTAGAGTAGATTGAGCTGCGCAAGTGCAAGGACCAGAGTTCGATCCCTGGTTCCACTTTATCAGTCAGGCAAGCACCCATTTAGAATTAGAGTAGATTGTAATGTCTTGTCCTTTAATGGTCTCTTTTCCACTCTGTCACATATTTATTCCATTGTGCATTTTAATATTTTTATTTCAGAGGCCTCTGAGATGGGATAGGAGATAACCAGAATCTTCAGTTGTTCTAATAATTTAATGAGAATGCATGTGAATTGGTTTCTATTTTTTCCTGCCAGGATGTCTTCATATTTTGCGAGCCGTCACAGAAAGGATTTAAGTACTGAGATGATCAGAACTAAAATTGCTCACAGGAAATCACTGTCTCAAAAAGAAAACCGATATAAAGAATATGAACGAAACAGACACTTCGGTTTGAAAGATGTCAACATTCCAACCTTGCAAAGTAAAACTTTTGTTGAATTAGATGAGACATCTCAGGAACTTGCTCCAGAGAAGGCCAATATCAAGCCAAGTAAGTCAAAGTCTGTCACCCTCTTAAGTGCTGTGCTTTTCAAGGTAAAAGTTAATTTAATGCCTGTGGGAGTGGGGGTGAATTTGACCAGAATAGTTTTTAAATATCCTCTAAATAACTTGGTGATATATATATATATACACACATACATACATACATATACATATGACTGTATCATGTCCATGTAGAGGCTGTAAGGCTAGCTAGGCCGAAGCCATTCACTGCAGATTATTACACCATTTTATCATCTACATTGGCTTGTAGAAAAGCTCACATTCTTCTGGAGCTTGGTTAAGATAAGTGTTGACAAGATAAATTGATAAGCCTGAAACTGGAATGATTAAAGAATTAGTGAAATAGAATACTTTGCCACACTGCTGCTCAGTTCCATCTCAGGAGGAGCAGCAGCCAATCAGCCCATCTCTCCCCTCAAGACCCCCGTGTCCTCCACTCCAGGTTAGAGTGGGATTGGCTTTGTCCCATAAACCCCAGGAAAGGGGGGGCCTTCCTTGTGCACTGTGGGCTAAGTCATTCCTTCCCAGTTTTGGGACAAGGGAAAATACTTCGTTCCAGTGGTGTTAGGCATTTGCAGGCCCTCTCTGCAGCTTGTGGCCTCCTCAGAAGTTCTCTTGAGCTGGGTGTGGTGGCGCACACCTGTGATCTCAGCGCCCAGGAGGCTGAGGCAGGAGGAAGGCTTCCAGTTGGAGGCCAGCCTGGGCTATACGTTGACCCCAAACCAAAACAAAACAGGAATTTGCTAAGCCTTCTGGGTATTTTCAAACCTCAGTTGTTATATCGTTACTGTTATTTACAGAGGTTTTATGATGAGGCCAGTGATCTTATCTGTCAATTCTGAGTCACTACTGGGTCTCACTGTGTAGTTCAGGCAGACTTTGAACTCAAAAGGATCCTCCTGCCTCAGGCTCCCAAGTGCTGGGATTATAGGCCTGCACCACCACACTTAGCTAAATTTGTATTTTTTTTCTTTAATTTTAATTTTTTTGGAGGGCTACTGGGAATTGAATTCAAGACCTTGTGCTTGCCAGGCAGGTGCAGCACCACTGAGCTACATCCCTGGCCCCTAGCTGAATTTTTTAAATTAAAAACAATTAATGAAAAAAAAAAATTTTGCTAGGGGAAACATTACTGTACTTAGAGAAAAGCACAAAGAATTCATACAATTTGCCAATTAGGAAGGTTTTTTTTTCTTTTTAAAGGAAGGATAGAACCAGATAAAAAGAAATAAGGAGTCAAACGGGGCATGGTAGTGCACATCTGCAATCCCAGCACTGGGGAGGCTGAGGCAAGAGGTTCGCTCCCAATTCTAGGCTAGTCTGAATGACAGTGAAACACTGTCTCAAAAAAAATAATAATAAAACGATGCTAATAAGCGTCACTGGAGTCCTGATTATAGACTAGGCCATTAGAACTTGATGGCAGCTAAATAATGCAAGGTAAGTGGAAGGCAGCACTGGACTAAAGATTACTTCGTAATTTATCACTTTTGTGATTTTTTTTTTCTTTTAGTGGTGCTGGGGATTGAACCCAGGGCCTTGGCCCTGAGCTACATCTCCAACCATTTTTAAATTTTTTATTTTGATACAAGTTCTCACTAAGTTAACCAGGCTGGGCTCAAGAACTTATGAGCCTCCTGCTTCAGCTTTAATCCCACAGCGCTGGGATTCCAAGCATACAGTGCTGCAGCACAGAACTTGCCTTGTGTGTGTGAGGCCTGGGCTTCAGTCCCCAGTAGGGGGAAGCAACTGGACCGAAGCTCCGCAGGGTTCTTTAGTTTTTGTTTTTGAGTGAGTTCATCAATGCATGCGGGAAGGTCAGAGGAAATGGTAGTCTAGGCAGAGAGAAAAGAACAGTACCTCAGGAGCTGGGAAGAAGTGAAAATAGGGAAATAGAAGGATATGGGAAGGCTCAGTAGAACCAAACTTTTTTTTTTTTTTTTTTTGATACTTCAAAGCTTGGAGACTTTGACTTTTTCAAGCTTCAGCTCAGAATAACCAGTACATTAATTCAGCACATTTTGGTTTTGTTTTTTGTTTTTGTTTTGGTACCGGGGATTGAACTTGGGACCTTGCGCTTATGAGGCAGGCGGCGGAACCACTGAGTTAAATCCCTGGCCCATCAGCACATTTTGAAATGGTACGGCCTTAACGTCTTCAGTGGAACAGCTGCTTTTCTTTGATGGAAAGACTTAAAAGATCCCCAGATAAAATGTGTAGGCCTTTCTTGGTTTCTGAGTGCACAAGCTGAGGGTTTACAAAAAGGCCTTTGAAACAAACGGAACTTTAAGCCTGGACTCCGCAATCGATGGTTACAGGAATTGTGAGGAGCAATAGTGGTATTGCTGTGAGGAAGGGAAATGTTTCTAGTTTTTGGAGGTGCACACTAAAGTTCTTAGGGGTGAATTTACTTCCAAAAAACAGCAAGTGTGGCAAGATTTTTGTGATTATTGAATGTGGGGGCAGGGCTCCGGGGCTGTGTGTGGTGTGTATTTGAAGTTTTTCATAACCTTGAGAAGGTTAAGGGGTAGTTGTGAGGAGAACTGGAGGTAGAGAGATGTAGATATGGCTTGAGGACTCTGGCCTGGAACAGAACTAGAGCGGTGAGGCAGACAGGGATGAGGATGAGAGGACCTTGCCCCTGCATGCTGTGACTTCCCCGTGGCACCAATCAGTAGAGCGAGAGGGAGATTACCCAAGAACGTCCTCGCGTAGGGGGCAGGGATTGGTGTAACCTGTTAGAGCTAGCGCTTATAACTGTAGTAGTTACCCCAAAACTCAGTGGTTCAGAACAGTAATAAACATTCATTATTTCACACTTTTCCATGTGGGGCTCAGAAATGCAGCTTAGCTAGGTGGATTTTGTTCTCTTTCTTGCGGCATTGGGGGCTGAACCCAGGGCCTTCACCCTAAGGTAAACCCCAGCCCTTTTAATTTTTATTTTGAGACAGGATCTTGCTAAGTTGCCCAGGCTGGGCTAGAACTTTGAACCTTCCTGCCTCGGCCTCCGGAGTCCTGGGATTCCAGGTGTGGCCACCACCCCTGGCAGAGCTGGGCAGTTGTGGGCAGCTGCAGGGGTCAAGGAAAGGTGCATCTCAAGGCCTAGCCGGGACCTCGGGTTGGTGCCGCCTTGGGCAGGGCCCTGGGTTCTTTGTCCTGTGAGCTTCTCGAGGCTGCCTGTGACTCCTGCCGGACCCTCAGGCCCCTGGCTCCCCCAGAACTGGAGATGTAAGGAAGAGCGAAGCAGAGCTGCCCAGACGTGGCGATCCCACTCCATCTTTCCAAGCTGTGGCTTACACAGGACGGGATGCTGCCGCATGGGGGGCAACAGGGTGAGGCCACCAGGAGGTGACAGTTACCTGCCTGTCACACGTGGGCATAGGCACCGCTGCTGCACAGCCAACCAGGGTCATAAAGTCAGCACCAGGAACGAAATAAAGGAACAAAGTTTAAAAGGAAAGACACTTTATCTGTAAGAAGGAAACAAGGCAGAAAGCTGCCCTGTGAGAGGTGAGGGTGGGGCACCCCAGAAGATGGATACCCTCAGGCCTGGTCCTCAGCCTCCTTTTGTCAAGTGCTAAAGACCCTCCCAGGTCGGACCTGAAATTTGTCGCAACCTGATTGGCTCTCTGGGCGTCATAGCCGGATCCGGGCCATAGCACCCTAACCTGGGCACCATCGCCTCTGTAGGCTTTAGTTTGTTTTCCTCCTGCCCGTGTGTCCTTGTCAGGGCCTTGTCTGTGGGATTTGTAGACTGGGAGGAGTCTTGCAGACAAGGTCACTTGGAGCTAGTGATGAGGAGGGGATGCCTGTGTATCTGGTGTGACAATACAGTGGCCCTGGAGTACACAGACATATTTTCCTTTACGTTAGTAGCCCTCCTCCCCTTTTGTCTCCTTTCCATTTTATTGGAGGTGGAGAGGGGCTGCTGCCTTGGTTTCCAGCACCTGACCTCCCCTGTGCTTTGCTTGTCGCCCTCCCTCTGGTCTTATTCATTGCTCCCTCCAGTAAAGTTTTAACTCTTTCTAGTCAGGATTAGCCAGAAGCCCTAATGAGGCCCTTATTCTGTTCTTGTCACTGCCTAAAGGCCCCTCTTCCCTGCAGTAGGAAGCTGTTAGTAACGTGAGCAAACCGAGCGCACACGAGGAAGAGACATTTCTAATAACTGGTTAGAAGGTGCTATGGGCTCTCCTTAGCAGCACATGAAGTCGGTTGAAAATGGTCCTTTAGGCCTCTGCCATAGCTTTTTATCTGAAATGTTTATGCACTGTATTGTTTTGGATTCTCCTTCCTGTTTAGAGTCTATGAAAACTATTCTAAGTGATCAACGCAAACAAATGCTCCAGAAATACAAAGAGGAAAAGCAGCTTCAGAAGCTGAAAGAGCAGAGAGAGAAAGCTAAGCGAGGAGTGTTTAAAGTGGGCCTTTACAGGCCTGACATCCCTTCCTTCTTTTCAACAACGCAGACTGTTAGGAAAGCTGAGCCAAAAAAGGTAAATTTATGATTTTAACTTGGTACAGAGGAATAAGTCTCTTTTCATAAGGAATTTTCTTTCTGAAATTAAATGACTGAAATAAGCCCTCCCTTAGTCCCTTTATTTATTCACATAACCATTTGGTAGGAAGTGGGAATGACATCATAGTAGCTCAGAAGAATGAATGCCAGATTTCTTCTTTTGTTGTTTTGTTTGGGGTTTTTTTATGGGCTTATAGATTGAACTAGGACCTCACACATGCTAGGCAAACTTTCTACAACTCAGCTACATCTCTAGCATAATTTTTTTTTTTTTTTTGGAAGTAGGATCTTTTTTTTTTTTTTTTTTTTTTTTTTTTTGTACCAGGGATCGAACTCGGGACCTTGGGCTTGCAAGGCAGGCGTCAGAACCACTGAGCTAAATCCCTGGCCCTGGAAGTAGGATCTCATAAAGTTACCCAGGGCAGCCTTGAATTTGAGATCTTCCTGCCTCAGTCTCCCAAGTAGCTGGGATTACGGGCTTGTACCACCATGCCCACCAGGTTTCTTTTTTTCTTTCCTTTTTTTTTAAGAGCAGGACATTTTATTGAGGGAGAGACAGCTCCTAAGAGAGACAGGAGGGAACCTGGAAAGTGGGTTGCCCCCTACCATGTTTCTTGATGCATCTATAGATTGAGATAGATAAACCTAGGAAAACAGAGCCAGGGTGAATCATGCTATGCCAAAGGACTGGGCCTTTATCCCACAGGTTGTGAAGAGACAAGGGAGGCTTATAGATGAGGTAGAGAGAGCCATTATCGAGTTAATAATAGTCTGGACAAGAAAGCGTTCAGAGCTAAGGCCATCTGCAGCCCTGTGGTAATAGAGTGGGTGAGTGAGCAACCGGGGCAGTGCGTTTAGAATAAGCCAGTGTGAGACATCTTAAGGGACCGGTGACCGAGGAGGCGGTGAGGGGTGAAGTAGAGCGTCAGACACAATGATCCTGGAACCGTTTGTTTAAGCGACTGCCTGGAGAGAGAAGGGAGGCATAAGCAGGTGCATGTGTAGAAACATTTTACTTGGGCCATGCTGGGGACCGCAGGATGGAGAGCAGGACGGAGGCTGCGGGGCGGTGGACCAGGGTGTGATGCTGGGATAGAAGGGGCGTCAGCTGCAGCGTGGGGACCGCTCTGGGAGGGAGCACACAGCCCCCAGATGGTGCAGTCTGCAGCATCAGTGCTGGGAGACCAGCATTGATAACAGATCTCACTTTATTTTTTTATTTTTATTTTTTTGCAAAATGTTTATTTGTACATTTTCGATATACATCATGATCACATCATCATAGGGAATTTGTACCTGTGCATGATATATCTTGCAGCTCTCATTGAAATAATTGCTTAAAAGAGCTCATGCAGTCCTGATTGAAGTAAGAACTGAATGCTGTGAACTGGCCGTGGTGGTGCACACCTGTAACCCCAGCACTCAGGAGGCTGAGACAGGAGGATCACTGGGAGTTCAGGGCCAACCTGGACCATACAGTGAGACCCGGTCTCAGTCAAATTTAATCATGTAATGGCCCAAGATATTCCCTGCTTTTCTAGGCTTCATGAATCTCATTAATTTACTTAGCAGATCTCTGATTATTTATTCTGTGTAGATTGACCTCAGGATAGTATGGAAGAGACCAAAACTGATAGGTATAGCTCACAGTAGAAAGATGTAGCTAAATATATTCTGTATATATTAGGCGAAGGAGAGAGTATTTCTGTTTGGAAGAGAAACAGACCTTAGAAGAGGTTAGATTTACTCTAGACCGCTATGTAGGCCAGTCTGGCCTCGAACTCCCTGTGTTCCTCCTGCCTCAGCCTCCTATGTGCTGGGATTACAGGCGTGCACCAGCATACCCAGCAAAACAGCTAATCTTATTAATTAGGATTTTAATACCTGTGAAATATGGTTTCCAGTACTTTCTTTTCCTAAGACAATCTGAGGAAGTTTTGAAGATATTAACTTAAACATTATTTAAGTCCAGCCAGAATCAGAAAAAGTAGGCATTTAATGATAAAATTTAAGCTGGCAATTTCATTTTATAATGAGACATGAAAGTAAACTTGTTGTTGCTGTTTTTGTTCTGTTTTGTCTGACTTGATCTTCTAACTGTTTAAAGGCCACTTCATCTTCTGTACGAATTACAAGATCAAAGGCCAAGGACCAAGTGAAGCCAACTAAGGTATAGCTGATCAACAACTGTCACTCAATAAGAAATTACGCTTTTTTTTCCTTAGAGGAATAAACTTGTGTCTAATCTAATATCAGTCTCAAACACAGTGACTGATTCACTTGTCTTAACCAGAACTAAAATGATGGTTAGTGGTGCGGTGGTCAGGTAGATTTTGGGAGATGCCGAGGACATTCCCACTGACGTCTCTTTGCCCACTCGTCCTCGTGACCTCTGTCTGGGCCCTTGTCTCTGGGTCGTGCCGTCTGTTTCCTGGCTTCTGTCAGGCGCCTCAGGTCACCTGCCTGCATGTCAGCACAGTGGTGTTGGGGTGTCAGAAACTTCGGGGCCTTCTAACTTCCTTCTCGGGTGGGGCTGTAGGGGTCACTGTGATCAGTGCAGGCCAAGCAGGAAACATGTGATTCACCAGGAAGATGGGTTGCACATGTTCAGTAGACCTTGAGTGACTTCCATGTTCCTGCGACTTTTGTCGGCTCTGGATTACAGTAAGGAAAAAAACAAACAATAAAAATAGAGAAAGAAACTACCAAAATTCCCCAGCTTGGTGGAGCTTTTGTGTAAGACTGGCAATAAAATAATAAATATCTAGCAGTCAGACTCTTTCAAATGTTACGGAGGAGATGAAGAAAGAAAGGGTTCGGGGTGTGGAAGGGGTAGGGCCAGCCAGGGAAGGCCTTACTGAGAGGGTGGCACTGGATGGAGACCCTGACAGGAATGAGGGAGTGAACCATGGGAAAGGGCTTTCTGCAGGAGAAGAATCTTGTAGGTACATTTCAGAAGCATAAGCACCGTGGGCCTGGCGTGTTTAAGGAACTGTGGAAGGCTATGGCCAGCTTTGCTTTGCTTTGCGGTACCGGGAATCAAACTCAGGGCCTCACACTTGCCATGTAGGCGCTGGGCCGCTGAGCTACATCCCTGGCCCATATTCTTAATACCTTAAGTTATTAGCACTTTGTACAAGCAGATAGATGTAAGGAGATTTGTACAATGGAAAAACCTTGTCTTCATTTTCCTTGACTTAGTGCATTTTGTTGTTGTTGTTGTTGTTGTTGGATTCTTTATAATTGCCAGGATTTGGGTGAGGGATCATTTCCCAGATCAGAAATGGGGCAGTTTGAGTTATGGCCCGGTTAAATCATGTAGCACCTCATCTCTTAACATAGATTCCTACTAGGAGTGACGTTCAAGCAGCCCAACCTGACGAAAGACAGGCCACTAGCAGGAGAGCGCCGGACAGAGAAAACAGAGGTGGGAATGCCGCAATTGCTGTTAGGACCCTGGATGCCACCGCGGTGAGGCCTCACTCGTGACGAAGGACATTTGATTATTTTCCCACAGTTGTACCCCCCGTGTCGCCCCCACCCATCAGGGTGACCCGATCGGCAACTCAGGCCACACAGCAGGTCCCCAGGACCATCCCCTCCGCCCCAGTCAGAAAGCCAACCTCAAGAGCTGCTCGTGGTGAGGACTGATATTTTTTCTTTTGGGTACTGGGGATTGAATCAGGCTTTGCACTAAGTTACAGCCTTAACCCCTTTTAAAAATGTTATTTTGAGACATGGTCTCAATTTGTCACTAAATGGCCCAGGCTGGGCTTGAATTTATAATCCTCCTGCATCAGCCTCCCAGAGTGCTGGGAAGGAAGTGGAGAATTCTAACCCTGAGCTCCCATCTGTGCTGTGACAGCACAGGGTAGGTGCCAGGATGCTGACACCCCTGAATTAGCATAAGCAGTGCTTCAAAGTGAAAAATGAATGGCCCTCAAAATCTTAGTCCATCCATTCTAGCTGGGCCTGGTGGCGTGTGCCTGTAATCCCAGCACTCAGGAGGATGAGGCAAAGCCAACCTGGGCTACATAGCGAGATCTTGTTTCAAACTCCGACCCCCCCCAACAAAAATTCAAAATCTTGGTCCATCCATCTGATGAAACATAGCCACTAAGAACAGTGTTCTCAAAGAACACTTAATATCAGTGGTGATATATTAAGTAGGCAAAGGAAAACAGGTCAAACCCTGAGCAGTAGGATCACAGCTCTGTAAAATAGTATGTGATATTGTGGACATAGAGAAAAGTTGGAAAAGCATATTCTGAAATGCCAACCAGTGATGGAATTGAGGGTGTTTTTGTGGGTGTGGGCTGTGCGTGTGCGTGTGCGCGTGTGGGGTGCTGGGTAAGTATCACAGAGCCGCCCCTATCCTTTTAGATTTTTTTTTTTCTTGGGGTACCGGGGATTGAACTTGGGTCCTTGTACTTACAAGGCAGGCGGCGGAACCACTGAGCTAAATCCCCAGCCCCCTTTTAGATTTTTTTTATTTTGAGATGGGGTATCACTAAGTTGCCCAGGTTGGCCTTAAACTCACAGTCCTCCTGCCTGAACCTCCTAAGTAGCTAGGATTACAGGCTTTCTGGGTTTTTCTAGCTATCTAGTAAATATATATTTGGTATTCAGAGAAAAAAGTTAAGACACTTTTTTGTTTGTTTGTTTTGAAAACAGCTGGCCTATGCTTGTCAAGAAATTTTACTTCTTTTTATCATAAAACTTTTGATCATGGGCCGGGGATGTAGCTCAGTGGTTCCGCCGCCTGCCTCTCAAGTGCAAGGACCCAAGTACGATCCCTGGTACCAAAAATAAGAAATAAAAAATAAAATAAAAATCCTTCAAGACATACATTCCTATTGTTGCTTTTCTTTCTTTTCCCAGATTACTTAGTACTTTACATTTTTTATCTAGTCAAAACTTATATCTTATTTCAGATACTGAACCAGAAAGAAAGGCACTAAATAAAGGAAGACCTGCCACAAAGACAGAAACGAAAGCTGACAAGGTAGAGTACAAACATCTGCTTTGAAAATCTCACTGTTTTCATAAAGTTGGAACTGAGGTGAAGCCGCCTGAACCGGAAGGAAGCCGTGAGAAGATTTACTATTGTTTTTCCACATTCCTTAGAGAAAGCATAATTTGGTTAATCAAAAGAAGATGGAAAAAATAAGAACAACTTAGAGAAGCCATTGTGTGAAAATTGGGTACAAGACAGGATGGAGTAGGGTGGACATAGTGACTTGGCTTCCATTAGACCTGTGTTTGAATATTGTTTCTGCTTAGGATTAGCTGCGTAACTGAGCGACTTATGTCATTGAGTTTGTCCTCTGTCTCTGGAGAATTCCTACAAAGAGGAGTTGTTTTGGGGTTTTTTTTGTTTTTTTGGTACCGGGGATCGAACTCAGGTCCTTCCACTTGCAAGGCAGGCGGCGGAACCACTAAGCTAAATCCCCGCCCCGAGGAGTTGTGAGAATTAAATAAGCTAAGGTTTCTGAGAGCAGCTAGCATAGTATCTAGTAAAGTCCTCACCAAAGGGCCCTGTGTTAGGCCCAATCTCTTGGTTTACAATCCATGCTCAATTCCTTAACCTTAAATGGTGTAGCTGAAGAGTACGAAGTTCGTCCTGGTTCTCACTAAAGTCAGGTGGATCCCCTGCACTGAGGACCATACAGATCAGCTGGGCCTCAGAGCTCTTCTCTGGGACTCAGTTTCCCCTCAGGACCACCACCAGTTTTACTGGCCTTCAGGACCATGTTACCACCTAACCTCTTGTCCAGGTTGAAAAACCTTAGCTTGAGTATAGACCTTGTTGAAAGTCAGAAACCTAAAAAAAATTTTTTAAAGACAGAAACTTGGAAACCTCTGATACTTACGTTTCAATACCAAGTATTTGGTTTTGAGACAGGGTCTTGCTATATAGTCCAGGCTGGCCTCCAACTCGAAGCAGTCTTCCCGCCTCAGCCTCCCAAGGACTAGGATTACAGACCTGCCCCACCCCACCCGGCTCCCTCATTGGCTCTTCCTTGTTGCAGTGCTGGGGATGAAACTCAGGCCTCGGGTGCCAGGCAAGTTCTCCACCCCTGAGCAGCATCCCCAGCCCCAGGGTCACCTCCCATGTCTGTGAAGATTGCCTGGCTGCATCCTTAGAAATTCTGACCCTGTTCTGTTTACTGATTTCCAGGTGATTTCTTCTAAAGTCCAGATCGAAGAAAAGACTTCACAAACCAGCGCAACAAGTGAAACAGATCCAAATGGAGTCCCATCAAAAGTGGAACAGTTACCTAAGACACATCCCGCAAAAACAAGAGGCAAGAATTCCTTCGCACCTACCGACTTCGTGTTCCAGCCCCTGGACGGCGTGAAGTCCTATCAAGTGATGCCCATGACACCCCGGAGCGCCGAGGCCTTTCTGACGCCCTGCTACACCTGGGAGCTCCTGAAGCCACAGGGGTGGGGACGCAGCCTTAGCCAACAGCACAACACAGGAAGGGCTGTGGACATATTGCTTAGCTACACAGAGTCTTAATGTTGGGTTCTCTGCTAAGAGGGTCACAAACACCTTTCCTGGATCTCTTGTGTGCGTTTACTTAGTGAAGTATGTTGATGAAACATCATGAAGACTTGTACTTCTAAAAAAAGCTCTTCAAGGCTCTAGTAACTTTTTGACAATTGATATTTCCTAAGGATTGCTATTATTCTCACCATTCCATATAGTTTTTATGTTTTGCTTTTAATAAGTGACTTAATTATAACATTTAGAAAAGAAAATTGCCATAAGAATGTAACTCAGACTGGGCTATTTTGGGCTGAAAGTTACTCTGGAAAATCTACCTCTAACAAGAAAAATGCAATTAACTTGCCACAAGGTAGGGGAGAGGGTGGAATCTTTGAAGGAATAGGCAAGATCGGCTGGCAAGAAATATACTCAGAGTCTCCAAGACATCTGAGTTGTTATGGTCCATCGAGAGAGCTTCAGAATCTTTGAATTGCATTACAATTTTTAATAAACATGGGCGTTCTTATTACAGGTTTTTAAATTTTCCCCTCCAGAATAGAGTTGGTTTTTTTTATTTTTTTTTAAAGAAACGTATCTACTTTATCCCAGATTTTAAAAAGCAACACAATTTTGAAATCCTGCAATCAGATATATGGACTTCATGTTTCATGAAATCGGTTTTTGTCATTGCTTTTAGTGATAAGATGCAAGAAACAAGAAAAGAAATCTTGGGCCCAAAATGTAAAACTTATTCTACCAAGGCACTCCAGCAAGATTCAAGTAATTTACCATGTCCTCTGGATTCTGAAACAGTTTTCAAAGAAGGTACTGTATTTTAGTCAAAATTTTTGCTTACATTTCTGGATTATGATTTCTCAGTGATTTGTTCAGAGCTCATTTTCACCATATAGTTATAAGGACTGATGTTAGACTTAGATGGAATAAAAATACAGACTAGATTAGGTGTGCTGCACACCTGCAATCTCAGCACTTCAGAGGCTGGGGAAAGAGGATCTCGATTTCAGGGCCAGCCTTGGACACTTTCCAAGTTCGAGGCCAGCCTGAGCTACATAGTGAGACCCTGTCTCAACCCAAATCAGTAGAATACAGACGAAGAAGGCAGGAGAACTGAATGTAAGTTTGAATAGATGAAAAATACTGAGAACCACATTCGAGTAGGTGTGAGTGAAATGACTGAGACAGAAATCAAAACTTCAAATTTAGGCTGTGGTGGTCTTCCTCACAACAGCCCGTCCTGTGTCCCCAGGGTGTACTTTACCCTGCTTTTTCCTCCTCTGCTCGTCCCAAGCTCGCTCTGCAGAGCCAGTCTCTCTCCCTTTTCAAATAAACTTTGACACCGTCAAAAAAAAAAAAAAAAACCAAAAAAAACCAAAACCATAAAATTTAACATTGAGAAAATGGAAGAATTTGGGGGGTTTTTTTTGGTACCAGGGATTGAACTAGGGACCTTGTGCCTACGAGGCAGGCATCGACAGCACCACTGAACTAAATCCCAGGCCCAAAAGAATTTTTTTTTTTCCTTAAATTCTTTTATTGGTACATTTTAGGTATACAATACGTTTACATTTACCATTGGTTGCTTGTACCTGTACATGATGTATCTTGGTTCTTATTTTTTCCCCATTCCCTGTGTGCCCTTCACCTCCTCCACCCTTCCCTATTTACATAGACTTTGTTTCCATTTTTTCTCTCTTTTTTTTTTCTTTTTTCCATCTTTTTCTCTTTCCAGAAGAATTTTTTTAAATGGTCTTTTGGTGAGGGATGTTGTTTTAAGAATTGCTATTTTGAAATTTACAGGTAATGTTTTCTTTCATTTGTAGAACATGTCTTCAACCAGAATGAAGTTGCTTCTACAGATTCTGGTGTCCTGTCTGTAAAGGAAGCCCTGCCTCCCGCACCCGAGCCCTGTGAGGGCCCGATCCCTCAGCCACAGCATGATGTGCTGTACTTCAGGTGCGCCTGTTCCCAGTCCAAGACTTTTATATCCCTGTCTAGGCATTTCAAGCCCAGTTTAAAACATTTAATTTCAGATTCGCGTGTTGGCACACATCTGTAACCCCAGCTGTACAAGAGGCTGAGGCAGGAGGACTGTAAGCCTGCAGCCAGCCTGGGAGGGTTAATGAGACAGTGTCTCCAAAACACAATAAAAGGGCTGTTCTTGTAGCTCAGCGGTGGAGCTTTGGCCTAGCACACACAAGGCCCTGGGTTCAATCCCCAGAGCCACCGAACAATAATAATAGAAGTAATAATAACCTTACGTAGAAACTTTTTTGTATAAACATTTAATACAGTAAGTTAATGGGGGAAAACTGGCCGGATGAATTTTACTTTTAAATTTTAATTATTTTTGCAGTAGCTGGTACACTCGTGTGGTTCTTCAGAAGGGAGGAGAATATATAGGTCGAAAATCTCCTTTGAAGTGCTGGACCCTCCAGACATTCCCAGCACTGCACAGGGTTGATCGTCCACGTGCTAGGCCACTTCCACTCGCCTCAGGCCCAGGTTTCTCAAGCTTGGCATCGCTGACATTTCAGATCTCGTACTCTTTGTGGAGATTTCACCCTGCACATTGTAGGATGTCTGGCATCTGTAGCCAGTAGCGACAATCCAGTGTGTCTCTAGACCGTAGCAGAACGTCCCCTGGGGAGCAGACCTGACACCAGTTAGGAACCACTGGCTTTAGACCCAAGGGGCTCACAGTTAGGTTCTGAGCCCGGCCACTTTGATCCCAGCCCCAAGAGTTGTTAACCTCGCTGGCTGTGGGCAGTGGGACTGAGCGTGGTTCCCTGCATGGCCTTGGGATCTACTGCACATGAAGGTGTGAGGGCTGTGGCCGGCCTCCACACAGCCAGATCAAGAGGAAATGTTAGCGTGGTGGGGAGCCCTGGGCGCCACTCATGAAATAAGAAATAAGCATCGACTCCAGGAAATTAATATTGTGCATCTTAGACCTTAAGAAAGGTGTGTGTCATTGAGCTAACGCTGATTCTCGCCACACTGGAATGCCTGTCGTGATTTTAGAAATGTCCTCCGGTCAGAAGCTGAGAAGTTGACTCTGCACTGCCTGGCCTGGGACAGGAAGCTTGAGCTGGACATCCCCGACGATGGTGAGAGCTCTGTGCTCTAATGTCTTGGCTTGGTTTTTTCGATATGATTACATTCATCCAAAATGTGAAGATCTAAAGCTGTCCAACTTTGTAGTTTCATAAATAGCAAGAGCTTTTCATTTCTCAACATACGTTCCCTGCTGTCGCTGTGCTCAAGTGGTGCAAGATTCTTATTATTAGATTTTTTAATATGACTTTATGGGTGACATCAATTTCTGGTTTTATATAATTACACACACAAAAATTTTTTTTTTATCCCGGGGATTGAACTCAGAACCTTGTGCTTTCGAGGCAGGCACCAGAACCCCTGAGCTAAATCCCCAGCCCCAGAAATATGTTTTAAATAAAGGAAAATTACCTAAATATTTAGGTAAAGATTTTCGGAAAAGTTTCTTTTTTTTTTTTTTTTTTTTTTGTTTGGTACCGGGGATTGAACTTGGGTCCTTTCGCTTGTGCAGCAGGCAGTGAAACCACTGACCTAAATCTCCAGCCCAAGTTTCTTAAGCTTATTTGGCAAAGCTGCTTTAAAAAAAAAATCATGTGTGGGCCAGGGATTTAGCTCAGTAGTTCCGGTGCCTGCCTCAAAAATGCAAGGTCCCGAGTTCAATCCCCAGTACAAAAAAAAACCCCCAAAAATCATGTGTGCCTCTGTCACTGTGGAGTTCTCCTCAGATGCTGTGTGCAACATGGCATTTGAGGTTGGATTCTTACAAAATACAGGCCCTGGAGTGCTACTCACTACGCAGCCAGCAGGTGTATGGGACCACATCGCTAATTAGGCGTTGAGCTAAGTGGTTGGTATTTGTATGACAAAGTTTTGTGGTAGTAGAGTTTTTGTTTTGCCTTAAAGATTCAATTCTGTAAGCCCGAGGGTACTGGCAATGGAGTCCTACAGGTTCATCCTTTACCTGAGAAACACCTCCTTCCTCCTGTAGCTAAAGACCTCATCCGCACGGCCGTTGGCCAGACGAGACTCCTCATGAAGGAAAGGTTCAAGCAGTTTGAAGGGCTGGTGGACGACTGCGAGTATAAGCGCGGGGAGAAGAAGACCACCTGCACAGACCTGGATGGGTTTTGGGATATGGTGAGCTTCCAGGTCAGTGGCCGAGTATTTTGACTTTATTAACTTGATCTTTTTTAATGGAGTGATAGTAGTTGTTTAGGTACCTATGATATTAAGTGAGCTATTAAAACATTTGGATAAGCTGCACCATCAGTATTTGTTGCTGATGTTCTCCCTTGTGCTGTGGGGATACTTCCTGTATGGTTAGAAATCAGGACTGTGGTCTCTCAAATACACCCTAGCAATTTCACACGTGAGAAGTGAGCAATCTCGAGTTGAATCAGCAGCGGTCGAGCCCCTGTCATGCACCGGGCCTTGGATCAGGAGTTGATGAAAGGCACATTTTGTGTCACAGAGGGGCTGTGATACCGTGACAGCTTAGAGATAGCAGATAATTCCAGTCAGAATCAGAAAGTTCTGCAGTAGAGGAAATTCTTTGTCAGCAAAGGTGTGGTACAGGGATACTGCCGTCTAGCTTGTTGAGCTTATTTGAGAAATGTGTATATAAAATATCATTTCTGGAACTAATAGCCAACGCCAGACACTGGAAGCAGCGTGTTTTATTTACTTTGGTGATACTGAGGAATGAACCCAGGCGTGTGTGTTTAAGCACAGACTCCACCCCTGAGCCACCTGCCCCATCCCCACAGGAGGGTTAGATGGAAAAGACAGAAACCAGAGCAAACCATTAGAAAAACAGCTACAGTGGACCCTCGAGTTACGACCAGCCTGACATAGGAACAACTTGAGTTAACTAGGTGAATGGACCATTGACCAGGTAAACATCCAGATCTTAGCTGTGTTGACTTACAACCAACTTGAGTTACAACCAGCCCTCGGGAAATGATAGAGTTAATAAGTCAAGGGTCCAGTCAGTGGGGAACAGAACTTTTAAATGCAAGTATTAAGGTTCTCAAAGAGAGTAGGCATTTCCTCTGTCAAACAAGAATATTCAAAAAAGAATAGTCATAGAACCACAAAAAGAGCCTGTGGGCTGGGAAAATAAGAGCAAAAGTGGGGGAGGCCTGGGAGTGTCCAGAGCGAAGCTCAGCTCCACACACAGCACCCAGAGCCAGGGTAGCCCTGGACTGCTCACTGCTTGAACTCACTGTGATCCTCCTGCCTCAGCCTCCTGTGTGCTGGGATCACAAGCATGTGTCACCAAGCCCAGCTCACTGGTGATGTTAACACCTGAAAGAACAATGCCCTGGAAAATCTGAGGGAAAATAGTTTCCAGCCTGGAGTCCTGTCTTCAGTCAAGTGTAAGGCTGCAAAGGCATTTTTCAAGCCACAGTCTCCTCTCCTGCTGCCTTTGTCAGGAAACAGAAAATTTCACAGAAACCTCACAGAAAGTCGGCTAAGAAGAGCAGAGGAGGGTGTGGGCTGCAGCCCCTGAAAGGGACTGAGGAACTGGCCATCAGCACAGGAAGGAGGGATTTGAGATAGTCTACTGATATGGTGGTGCAGGCCTGTGAGCGCAGTACTTGGGAAGCTGAGGCAGAAGGAGCTCCGAGAGTTCAAGGCCAGCTTGGGCTCCATAGCGAGGCCTACCTTACTGCACGCAAGCTTGAGAAGCAGTAGCTCAGATTGGGGACCGGGAGGTTCAGGGCTCTGGGAAAATGAATGAATGCCTGAAACACCTGGTTGGGTTATTTTTCATTGTGCCAAGAGGAAATTCTGGGTTTGTAGCATGATTTTATCTTCTTGGAAGTGTAAATGTTTTTCACTCTGGTGAAATTCAGTTTATGAAATTTTTCTTTCTTTTTTGTTTTGGTTCTTGGGAATCGAACTCAGGGCCCGGAGATTATCAGGCAGGTTCTGTGCTGCTGAGCTCCAGTCCCGGCTCTGAAATTTTTTTCTTTTGTGTTGTGATTTTGATATGTCTAAGAACTCTTGCTTAACCACAAGTCAGGAAGATTTTCTCTTTTGTTTGTTTGTTTTTGGTTTTGGTTCTTTTTGAGACAGTCTCGCTATGTGTTCAGGCTGGCCTTGAACTCACTATGTAGCCCAGGCCTGCCTCAAACTCACAGCAATCCTCCCGCCTCAGCCTCCCAACAAAGATTTTCTTCTTTCCTTATTTCTAAGTGTTATAGTTTTAGCTGTTCCAACTAGATCTACAATCCAGTTGCTTAGTTTTTGCATATGAAATCAGGCGGGTCTAACTTCTTTCTTCTGCGTGAGGATATCCACTTTGCCAGCCCTGTTGAAGAATATCCTCTCCACATTGAATCCTATCGGCACCTCTGTTGAAAATCAGCTGCTCAGAGTTGCCGAGTCTTGAGTCATTTTGGCCTTTTCATATTTTGAGGACGGAAGTTGTGAAGATGCGTGCACACGCAAGGCAGGGCGTAGAGAGATCAGCAGGTTGTTGGCATCGGTCACCTCCCGGAGAGCCTGGGGGTGGACACCCTGATCTTCGTCCTACTAGGAAGCACATTGCTTGAATCTTTTCAATGAGAAGCCACGACCTGAGAGAAAAATATTTGGAAACGACATCTCTGATAAAAGACTATTATCCCAAACGCAAAACCTCTCAAACTGAGCAGCCAGCGGGGCGCAGCTTGGCGGTAGATGACGCCTGCCCAGGGCTCCACCTCCACGGCTGCGAAGGAAAAAGAAAAAAATGAACAACCAAGTCAAGAAATGAGCAGAAGACCTGAACAGATGCCTCCAGAGAGGAGAGGCGGACGCCGACACCCGGCGCCCTGGAGTCAAGTTCACAGCGAGAGACCTGAGCGCCAGTCACGCCTGTCAGCCGGGCCGGATGTGGACCGGCCGGGAGGCTCCCGACTGCCCTGCCGCTGAGGCTGCTGAGCGCACACCGCGCTGGAAGGGAAGGCAGCTTTGCAGCGCCTCACAGAACCAAAGGCGCTCTTAACATATGGTCCTGCATGGCGCCGGGGATTTAGCTCAGTGGTTCCGCTGCCTGTCTCGCAGGAGGAAGGACCTGAGTTCCATCCCTGGTACCAAAAAAAAAAAAAAAGAGTATACCATATGGTCCTGCAGCTCCAGCCTGCCACGTTTACCCAAATAAATTTAGAACGTCTGTCCGTTCCAAACTTTGCATGTATCATTCATCATTACCAAAACTTGAAAGAAACCAAGAGATCCTTCAGGAGGGAAATGGATAAATAACTTTAAAAACAGATTTATGTCCATATTGTATAACTTAAAAATATTTAGGATATAGCTCCTGCCACTTTAGTGGTCGGAAATAGTCTCAGAGTTACTCATGTATGCCATTCTAATGTAGATTTTGGAGGTTTGTAAGACCAAAATAACAATTTTACAATTAAAAATTCTCAATTTGCTGCCTGTGATCCCAGCACTAGGGAGCCTGAGGCAGGAGTATCTCCTCAAGTTCGAGGCTAGCCTGAGCTACATAGTGAGTTCGGAGCCAGCCTGAACTACAAAGTGAGACCAGCCCTGTCTCAAAAAACAAAAACAAAAACAAAAAACCCAGGGCCGGGAATATAGCTCAGTGGTGCTGTGCCTGCCTGGCAAGCACAAGGTCCTGAGTTTGATCCCAGTACCAAAAAAGGAAAAAAAAAAAAATCTCAATTTGAACACTAAAGACTCATTTTAATTTTAATAACTCACCATTTATGAGTTGCCATGCTCAATTTTTTTGGAGCTTCAGTTCATTAGTTTGTAACATGGTATCATTAACCTGATAAACTTGGGCTTTGTTTGTTAACAGATAGAAGATGTAAATAAAAAATTCATCAATCTGATGAAACTTGAAGAATCTGAATGGCAAAACAATAATGCAAACAAAAAAGTTTTACGGGTAAGTGGTGGGTTTATGTCCAGATTTCTAATGTACACTTCTGATTGGTTTTTAAGTTTTAGAAACATTTAGCTTCTCAGTTCTCATTTTACAAAGTAGGTTTCATCTATTACAGCATTCTGCTTGCCTTTGAAAAAGCACAAAAAAATGAAACACAAAAAGAAAATGAACACAAAATTTAGGGTGTTTGTTGCTGGGGAGAAGATGAGACCAGGATTGAACAGGGCTCCCCCGAAGTTTCCAGAGAGGGTCCCGCCAGCCTCGGCTTTGTTCATTAAACTGCTAGCATGTTTGATTGTAATAATGCTAGTAGTTGAGTCGATAATTTATGTGGTGTTTAGTATGTGCTAAATATTAGTCCCACTACTTTGTACATATTAACTCACTTAATCCCACAGCAGCCCTGTGAGATTGGGCACGGAAACCCAAGGTCTGGAAAGATCAGGTCATTTCCCAAAGGTAGACCAGGTGGGCTTCAGGCCAGACCTTCCTGTTCCGGAAGTCTATGTCCTTGACTAGTAGACTGTTCATGTACCTTTGGCTATGATTGATTTTATTTATTTATTTTTTTGGTACCGAGGATCGAACTCAGGTCCTTTCAGTTGCTGAGCAGACAACAAAACCACTGAGCTAAATCCCTGGCCAGGTTTTATTTATTCTCCATTTTTATTGTTCACTACTGCATGTTTGCAGGACACATGATGACCTTTGTCGTGGGGAGTTGGTGCATGCACATAGCACATCTCAATTCTTTTTCCATCCCTTTTCCCTCCCCTCCCAGCATCTCTTGATCTCCTTCCCATTTGAAAAAGACCTCCCTACTTCCTATTAGCGCTTTTATTTTGCTCTTTATATTTTGAGTTTCTTGTATAAGAAAAGCCAGGCGATATTTAAAAGGCGAAAGATTCATATGATCTGAAGAGAAACCAGAGTATGCCAGGCGATATTTAAGCTCGTGTGACTGACTTATTTCGCTTAACATTGTGGTCTTAAGGTGCATCCATTCTCCTATGGATGACTCAGGTTTATCCCTTATAAAGTGTGACAGAGTAGTGCTCCGTTCAGTATAAAGGCCACGTTTTCTGCATCCGTTCATCTGTTGATGGACACATGGGCTGCTTTGAAGATTGAGCCATTGTGAGTTGTGCTGCTATAAATATAAACATGGATATGCATGCATCACTGTGACATGATGACTCACTCTTTTGGGAGGATACCTAGGAGGGGAACAGCTGGGTCACCTGGAACCTGTAGCTTTAGTTTTCTGAGGCATCTCTGTACTGATCCTGGTGTTGGTTGTGTTAGTCTATACTCTCAGCAACAGTGGAGCAGAGTTCCTTTTTCCCCACAGACTCGCCAGCATTTGTTGTTTGATTTCTTGATGATGGCCATTCTTTCTGGAGTAAGATAAAATCCCAGTCCTGTTTTAATTTGCATTTTTCTGATGGCCAGCGATGTTGAATATTTTTTCATGTGTTTATTGGCCATTTGTATTTCTGAGAAGTACAAGAAAAAAAAAAGGGGCTAAGGATGTAGCTCTGTGAAGGCCTTGGGTTCAATGCCCAGTTACCTTCCCTTACATAATAATAATAATATTATTTATTTATTTTTGGTATGGGGCATTGAACTCGGGTCCTTGCGCTTGCGCAGCAGGCGGCGAAACCACTGAGCTAAATCCCCGGCCCAATAATGTTATTTATTAATGAAGTCTCATAAGAAGGACACTGAAGGCAGTGGCTAAATGATTAAAAGAACTTCAGGTCTACTAAACAGGGCACAGTGTTCTCTGTTTCTTATTGAGAAGTATTAATTAAATCACCCTGGATACTGGTGAGAGTCTTGCAGTTCCTCCTGGTACCAGCAGATGGCACTCTCTGGCTGTATTATATAGGTTGCTGTTGGTTTAATTTTTGGTTTGGTTTGGTTTGTTTGGGGCGGGGGTGTTGTTTCTTTGAGGCGATGAGGATCCAGTCCAGAGGCTGGCACTGCCAGGCAAGCGCTCCACCACTAGCTACACCCCTAGCCCTTACAGGGTACCGTGAGGGGGAGCAAACAAATGAACCCGAACTGGTCTCTTCTGTGTACCCTGATAGTGTGTCCTTCCAGCAGTCCGCGCCATCTGACCTTCGCCCTCTCCTCAGCACGTGGCTGATTAAGTGTCTTCCCTTTGTTTACAATGAAACCCACCCACGCGACCGGGTGTCCGTGTCCCTCCTGGTGATCTCTGCTCCCCAAGCCGCCTCTCCTTCTGGTCAGACCAGCCTCCTGCACGGTCCCCCCGCAACCCACTGCGGTCACTCACCCCGCCTGCAGAGCAGCTGCCAGGTTTTTCGTCCACGAGACGCTGAAGTTACTAATCCTGCATTTGAAAAGAAAAATCTCACCCCGTTCGGTATTAAATACAGTGGGTTTTTCCGTTATCGTTTTTAGCCCCAGGCCCCATGCACACTTGGCGAGCCGTCTGCCGATGCCCGCGTAACCTGGCCCTTCCTGTGCAGTTTTAGCCCGCGCTCTGGTGACCCTCCAACCTGCCTGTCAAACCACTTTCCTGCTTTCGCTAGTTCCGTGTCGTGCCTCAGCCTACCTCAGAAGTCAGTGTGTCCCAAACCCAAGTCGCTCCCACACCCCGGGGCTCGTCGCAGATCTGGGTTAGTCCCTGACCCTCGCCTCTCACCGCCTCCCTTCCCCGCTCTGCTCGATCCCTGCCCTTCAGCTTGTCACCCCCAGATTCTCACCACACCCGGGGACCTGATGAACAGATGGAGAATCTGTGATGTAATTTATAGATGCTCTCTCAGTATCGACATTTTAATTGACAACGTTGCGGACCGCTTCTCTCCTAAGGCAGTAGCCAGCCTCAGTAAACGCCACACTTTCTCTTCACAGAAGAAACCTGCCCGCGGCGCAGCCAGCAAGCCGAGAGAGGACGACAGGGGGCGCGCCGCTGCCCGGAGTCGGCTGGCCGCGATCAAGAGCGCCATGCGAGAGCGGCTGCGGTGGGAGGAGCAGGCCGGGGCCGGGGCTGGGCCTGGGGCTGGGGCTGAGGCTGAGGCTGAGGCTGCCGCACCGCCCCGGCCCGCGGACACGATCGTGTTCGATGCCGGGTTCTTCCGAGTGGAGAGCCCCGCTAAGTCCTTCTCAGGAGGTCAGCGTCCTCACCGAGGTGTCTGGAGACCCGGGGGCCAGCGGGGCCCAGGTGGCAGGGAGAGTGGCGGGGACAGCACGTGACCCTGGGCCCGGTGGCTCGTCCCTGGGTCCCACTCCAATCCGAGTCTTTTGCGGCTCCGCACCCTCTCTCTAAACAAAATTTGATCATTTTTTCTAGAAATATTTTTCCCCTCGGGTATTCATCTTTTTCCCTATATTTACGCTTTCCTACTTCCTGGGAGATTTCCTCAACTTCCATGCTGGGATCATGCCTGTTTCACGAGGCTCCTTCCCAGCTGCCAAATGTTGCTTCGTCCGGCATCAGCTTGGTCTCTGTGCGTGTGGATAGTGCTGCTCTCTTGGCCCCCATGCAGCCAGCTTCGGTTCCCCGTCTGGGGTTCTGTCCCATGTCGGAAGCTTTCCTCAGGCTTCTGATCCCTTGCTGCTTCTCGAGTGAGATGGGCACTAACCCCCTTTCTGTGGGCCGAGGTGGCCGGCCCAGGAACCTGCATGAGACTGCATATAAGTCTCGCCACAGGCTACCAGGTTCCCAGGGAGGAGGATTCTCACCTGCTGCCCAGAAGGTATTGAAAAGTACGGTGTGTGTTTACATTTTTAAAAATACATGACAGTTGGGCCGGGAATTTAGCTCAGTGGTTCTGCTGCCTGCCTCACAAGTGAAAGAATCCGAGTTCGAACCCCAGTACCAAAAAAAAAAAAAAAAAAAAGCATGACAGTAAAGGCACATTGGCAAGAATCTCCCTCAAAATATTTCCTCCTTCAGGCTGGGGATTTAGCTCAGTGGTTTCACTGCCTGCTTTGCAAGCGCAAGGACCCAAGTTCGATCCCCGGTACAAAAAAAAAAAAAAATTTCCCCCTTGCTCTGAGCACACTTCTCATCCTTGCCACTTTCTGAAGCAGTTCTGGAAGTCCTCTGTCGTATCTTTAGTGGCAGTCATGGTTGATGTCCTGAATAAATTCAAAACTTTACCTTTTCATGGTCATTGTGACTTTGGGGAAGAGCCAGAAGTCTCACGGTGCCAGATCTGGTGAATGACTTGGATGAGGTGACAGTGTTGCGTTTTCCAAGCCACCTTTCTGTTGGATATCACTCGGCTGTAGCAGTTAGGGTATTTTTGATCCCACTGTGCAAAGACACTCTCAGAAAGGACTTGTTAAACTGCTTCAGAAAATGGCAGGAACGATGGGACAAGTGTGAAGGGGTGGAGATTTGTGGCCATCAGTTTTTTACTGTAATCGATTTTTTTAATGTACACATTCACCATATTTTTTCATATCCCTTTGTGCTCTGGTTGCCAGCAATTCCAGAACCATGTAGGGGGGGAAAAAGTTGAGCATCTCAGCAGATCAGTTGTAAATGTTCACTTACTCTTCACATTTTCCACAGGGCATCTTTCAACTCTCCCCAGTATCCCCTAAGCCAGAGGTCCTGTTTCCCCTTTTTCTGGAAACAAACCTGGTTTTCGGGGATGGAGAGAGTGGGTGTTGGCAGTCGGGCTGCAGCGGCTCTTCTTCCTGATTGGTGGCTCCCTCGACGTCTGCGTCACGCTTCTCGAATCTTCTCGCTGCTGTTGCCTCTGCATTAGCTTCCTTCATCCTTATAGAGCTCTCCTTGTAGAAGATTATTTCTGTTCATGTTGTCACGGTGAATGTCAGGAGGAAGCCGAGTCTAATGAGGGCTTAAAGCTGTCTTTAACAGAAAGCCCGGACATCCGGTTCTGACAAAGAAAGGAACAGTTATGGGGTTTGCCCTGTCTTCCTGGAATAGAGAGCAGTGAATGAAAGAGCTTTTTGGTACTAACTGACTTCTGTCTTCCAGCGCCGTCCTGTGAACGTCTGTCGCAAAGGCTCAGAACGCCCAAGTCTGTTACCAGTGCTGTGCCCGAGCACAGGGTGGACCTGGCCCTTCACAGACAGACAACATTGCCAGAGAACCCTGGCCCCTGGAGCGCCCAACGTGGACATGGTGATAAGAAGACTCTGCTTTCAAATATTCCTGAGAGCAGGTTATTTCTCTAACATGTTCTTAAGAGTTTAACATATCAACATACTAATCATCATTTCAGGTTATGCTAGTGCAGCTTGCAGACATATTTTGGTTACATTTCACAGTGGCCCTGTGAAATGTAATTAAAAATCTTTCTTTTTATCAATGAGGAAACTGAGGGTTAACATTTCAGGTGGGAGCTGGGCATGTGGTCCTGTAGGCCCAGCTACTTAGGAGGCTGAGGCAAGAGGGTTGCTTGAGCTTACAAGTTCGAGACCATTGTGGGCAACATAGCAAGACCCTGCCTCAAAAAAGTAAAGTCCCTAGACTGAGTGCAGGGCTCCAGCTCCATGACCGGCTGAGAAACTTGTGGGCCAAAGAGTTAACTCAGGCCCATTCTCCTCTTACAACCTTCTGCCCCGGGTTTCTGGCCACCCTTGGGAGAAGTAGCCAGATCCTCTCAGGCTGCTAATCTGCGGCTGGGACAGCATGGGGAATCCAGTCACAGCCACCCTGAGAAATGAGGGAGACAGGCAGGTGCCACGTGGGCTGTGTGCATTACAGGGAAGTGGATGAGAGTTTGTTATTGAAACGTAAATAGTTCATGGGATCAGTTTTCAGACTGCTAATATACATCATAAGTATTTAGCCTTTATGGGAGTGAGAATACTTTAGGTGTTAGATCTGTGGGTTATAAAATACCAATTTATTACTTTTCTCAAATGCCAGTTACTTTATTACAATATAGATCCTGTCATTTATTGTCTTGTACCGAGAAGATCCAGAATTGCATTTGGGTCATATTACAAATGCTCTCACACAAATGCTTATTGATCGCCACAAGTCATCCTGAAAGAGAGCAACTCCGCTCTGATAAAGGAAAGTGAAGCCAGATGCTAGGAAGAGACAGTGTATTTTTAAGGAAACAACTTGGGGAGGTTGAAACATTTCCAGTGTTACAGCAGTGAGCAGGGATGCCAGTCCCCGCTCCGCTGGCCTGAAGCTTCCTGGGGAGGCTGCGACCTGTGGGCTGGGCTGGGCCAGGCCAGGTCTCCTCCAGTTTCATTGTCAACCTGTTCTCTACCCTCACTCAAGTCGCGCAGAAGCCAGAGGCGGCCGTGTGCTGATCTGCCTGAGTAGAATGCTTCTCCTTTTTCAGGAACATCGAGGCAGAAGGCGCTCAGTGTTCCGGATCACAGGATTTCACCGACATGAACCCCGTGAGTCCTGTGTCAGCATTGTAGACACCCCAGTGTATCCCCGCTTCTGTCATTGTCCCTAGCAGCTCCATGACAGTAGCCAGGACTGATGCGGAAATGCAGGTCACTCCAGAGACTGGCCCTTACTGCAGTGCCTTTGTGTAGGGTTCCGCTTACGCCGTGACTGTGGCCTCTGTGTGTGACTGGGATTCGCGGTGACACAGCTACACTTATCTGTGTTGTGCCTGGCTGCTCTGGCAGTGCCATGGGACAGCTGGGGTTAGGGCAGAGGACAGGGGTCATCAGATCTGTAATATCCACACCTGGTTCTTCCTGGAGAATGCCTGCCCTTCTCAGATTAAGTTGGAAACCAGGGGATAGGTACTTGGTGAAAAGATTCCCTCCATTCCTGTTATTCCTATGTTATCTGGGGTCATTGTTATGAAGCAAGACTGTAGGGTTTATAGGCCAGTATTCTTTGGCCAAGTTCAGAATATATAATAGCAACAAGACGTTTTGTTTGTTTCAGGGTTTTTTGTTGTTTTGTTTTGGTACCGGGAATCGAACTCAGGACCTTGAGCGTGCCAGGCAGGCGCTGTGTCACTGAGCTACGTCCCCAGTCCTGTTTGTTTGTTTCAGGTTTTTGTAATTAAATGTAATGGCCATTTCTACTTCCAGGATATAAATAAGACAAACTTCGAGATGAGTTGTTTACCCGGTGAAACAATGAGTTCGCATCTTGCTGGAGGAGTAGCTGATGATGCCACAACTAACAAGGAGGAAACTTCGGGTGTCGTGGAACTGAATTCTTCATTTACCACACAGGATGTTCTGATGAGTAGTCCTGAAAAAAATTCACCGTCACAGAATAACATCTTACAAGAAGCAGCAGCTAAAACTTCTCAGCCAGGTAAGAACCTTTAAAATACAGTAAGGCTTTGTTTAAAAAAGAACTTGGATTAAGGTATAGAGTATCATAAATCTGAGTGCCAGTTCCTAAAGATGAAGGCTGAAAAATCGACACGCACAATAAATTCCTCATACAACAGTTACGCTGTCATGTGCGACTTGCCCCCAGCCCTCGCGAAGACTCCGTGAGCCCCGTTCCACCCTGGACACAGCGCTCGCTGTCGACCTTGCCGTCTCCAGGGAGCCTGCTTCCTCCTCGGTGCCTCTTCCTACTGTTTTGTTTTGTTTTGTGGGTACTGGAGATCAAACTCAGGACCTTGCACTTTCGAGGCAGGTGCCAGGCACGGTGCCACTGAGCTAAATCCCTGGCCCTTCTTCCTGCGACATTGGGTGACTTTCCCACAAGACCACACAGGTCTTGCGGGCCGAGGTGTCTGCACTGAGGACATCACGAGCATCTGCCTCACAAATGGCAGCAGAGCAAATAGGGCCTGCCCTCTTCAGCACTCTGTGCTGTGGGTCTCACTGGACACTTCCTGCCCACTTGTCACATGGCTACTTTTAATGCTGTCAGCATGAGATTTGTTTGTAGAAAACTCTATACTGAAGGTGAGGATAAGAATTCTACTGAGAAATTTACATAAAAATATATGTAGCACAATGGGCCAGGGATGTAGCTCAGCGGCAACGCGCCTGCCTGGCAAGTGTGAGGCCCTGAGTTCAATTTCCGGTACCAAAAAATATATTTATATATATGGCTCAAAATGGCCTATGTTTGTCTTTGAATGAAAATCTTTTCATGTCTTTCAAAGCTTTGTCTATTTCTAACCACGAGAATGGCCTTTAAAGGTAAATATGATTGTTTTTCTTGTTTTCCAGTGCTGTTTGATACCAAAGGGCTCACTACTGAATACCACCTTCTTGATTCAGTAAGTTTTCCCACCTAATTTGATGTCCCTCATTTTTCTAGATTTGTTTTATAAAGTGAATTGTTACTTTTCAGTTTGTGGGTGAGGTTTAAAGCTTACATCATGGGCCAGGGATGTAGCTCAGTGGTTCCGCCGCCTGCCTCACAAGCGCAAGGACCGGAGTTCTCGATCCCCGGTACCAAACAAAACAAAACAAAACTTACATCTTGTCATTGTTTTTGCTTACTCTGAAATCCATTCATTACCATTTTCAAAATGGAGAGAAGCTTTCTGTGTTTCTATGCTCTAAAATACAGTCTGGGGGTGAGGGATTTAGCTCAGTGGTTCTGCCTCCTGCCTCACAAGCACAGGGTCCCAAGTTCAATCCCCAGTACCAAAAAAACAAACAAACAATAAAATACAGTCTGGGTTTCTTTAACTTTTTTTATTAGTACATATTTATCATACATAATGATCACACCCATCATGAGGAATTTGTACCTGTACCTGATTTATCTTTTTTTTAGTACCGGGGATCAAACTCAGGACCTTGTGCTTGTGAGGCAGGCGGCAGAACCACTGAGCTAAATCCCTGGCCCCACGATTTATCTTAATTCCTCCTTTTTTTTCCTCATTCCACTCTCCTCCCTTCAAACTTTCTTCCCCTCTTCATTCACACAAGCTTTGTTTCCATTTTTTTTCCTTCCATACAATACAGTATGTCCTAGTATTAAACCCTGAAGGTTTATTTTCCTGTCTGATTTATGGATCAGATTGCTTGAACACCTGGATATCTGGTATGTGGCTTAGGTTAGACTAGGTATTTCCAAGCCATTCAAGGCAAGGCAAGGCAAGGCCTTCCGAATGTCCAGCTGCTTGGCCCGCCTCCAGTTATCCTTGGTTACATCCTCCTTTTGGATCATTCCATTGTATTCAAATGAAGCCCTCCTGTCCCTCAGTCTCTCAGGAGATGCACTCCCTGCCCTCTGAGCTCCTGTGTCCGTCTGCCTCGCTGCAAGCTCTTCCTCCTGCCACAGAATGTGCTGTGTGCAGTTCTGCAGCTTCTGCTGTGAGCTTCCCAGATGTCACTCGGGGCCTCGAGCCTTAAAATCTGATCTGGGCATTAGCCCTCTGGAAGCCTCTGCCTCCACATCAGGTCACACACAGACACAGGCCCTAGATACACGTGCATGCTTTCCACCTCATTAACGGAGAATGTGAGTGGATTCCATTTCTAAGATACATTACAATTTCAGAAATCCAACCACTTTCATAACTATAAATTCTTATTAGCTATCTGACTCATACTCTTTTTTTTTTTGGTACCAGGGATCGAACTCAGGTCCTTGCGCAGCAGGCGGTGAAACCACTGAGCTAAATCCTCAGCCCTGACTCATACTCTTAACATAGACACTGTGCTATGAATGGAATAGTTAGCTCTCTCTTTCCTCCTGGGTTTGTTATTTTTGTTTTGTTTTTCAGCACTGAGGATGAAACCCTGGGCCTTCACACTGAGCTACATCCCCAGCCCTTTTGTATTTTGAGACTCTCTTGCTAAGTCACCAAGTTGCCCGGGCTGGGCAGGTGGCCTTGAACTTGTAGTTCTCCTACCTCAGCCTGCAAGAGTGCTGGGATTACAGGTGTGCACCACCACACCTGGCCCCTGCTAAGTGTGGTAGCACTGGTTTCATCCCTACTGGCAGACATTGTATTTCAGTGATCTGAAGTAGGAGTACATCATTTTTCTTGATCATGTGATCCTAAAGTGTCGCTAGCGTGGACACCTCTGGCTTAGGGCCTTACCTGGAAGTTTCTAAGACCAGGATACAAGGAATCCTTAAGTCAGGTGCAGGACTGAGCAAATGTGCATGGAGCCTGGGAAGCCCTGGCCGATTCCCCAGGTTCCTTGTGGGTCTTGGCTCCTATTGTATTCCGACCTCCCTCCTCCTGTCAGGCTCCAGGCTGCCAGAGTCTTGAGAGCAGAAGTGAGTTCCTGTGACCCCAGACCAGGCTTCCTTTCTCTTTTTTTGGTATTGGGGATCAAACTCGGGTCCTTGGGCTTGCGAGGCAGGCGGTGGAACCACTGAGCTAAATCCCTGGTCCTGGACCAGGCTTTCTTGGTCCTGACCTTAATCACAAACTGAGAACAAGAGGCTCAGGGATTTCAGCCTAAGGCCAATTTGTGTAACCTGCCTTACTTAGTCCTGTTCCTAGGTCTGAGCTCCAAATGACTGCTTTTGATAATATGGATAATTGTCTCATTGATAAAGCTTCTTTTTTTTTTTTTTTTGGTACTGGGGATTGAACTCGGGTCCTTGAACTTGCACAGTAGGCAGCGAAACCACTGAGCTAAATCCCCGGCCCTAAAGCTTCTTTATAGTTTGGTTTCCTCATAATTTTTTCAGATCTAAATATTCCAGTTCAGTGGTTTGGAGTTTTAGCTCCCTCCCGCCCTTTTGGTGCTGAGGGCTGAAGTCAGTTCCTTTTCCTGTTTCTGAGACAGGATCTCCCTTAGTTACCCAGGCTGAGCTTGAACTTTGGATGTTCCTGCCTCAGCCTCCCAAACTGCTGGGATTCCAGGCGTGGAATTTACACAATCAAGTCCACCTCTATTTAGGGCCGAACTACTGTTCACCCAGTGGCATCACTGAAGCTGCAGTAGAGCTTGGGCCAAAGGAGCGGATGGTCACAGTGCAGTAAAGACCTGTTAGGTCGGGTTCCGCATTTTGAATTTGTGGAATCCACGTAGACAGCTTAAGACGCTGCGGCCCCTACATCCCTTTGCGCGCT